ATATGAGGAGGGGGAGAGGAGGAGGGGGAGAGGAGGAGGGGGAGAGGAGGAGGGGGAGAGGAGGAGGGGCCCCAAAGCGTAAGAGCGGTTGCTTTTGGGGTAAGTGCATGAGCAGCAATAGCACCCTTGCTGTACGGCCAGAACCACACTTCGCCACCTGCCCGACGATTCGCAGGTCATTGCCTCACAGCCCAACCTGCCCGCAGCCGACGCTGTGGAAATGTACACCGCACTTCTGTCGTACGCTGGTTCCGTACACCCCGGCGCGCTGTCGTACGTGGACGAGGTGTTGGCCGCGACTTACAACACGCTGGGTGGTCGCGGTTCGGGCTTGGGGGGAGACGCCCGGGCTGAGCGGCAGCTGGCGGCGCTGCTGACGGTACCCCTGGCCAAGTAAGTGAGATGCGGGTGGGGCGGGACGGAGGAGGAGGACGGGAGGGCATCGTAGAGAGTGCAGTGCCTCCACTGTTAAGGAATGAGGGAAAGGAACCGGACCCGGGTGTTTAGTATCGGTACCTAGTGAGGGTGGCACCGGGAAGAGGAGGGAGGCGCTACTGCGACAGGGGTGCCGGGTTGAGCTACTGCGGTGGCGGTAACAGCGGTGGTGGTGGCGGTAGTGGTAGCGGTAGCTAGCAGCAGATGGACGCAGCGGAGGAAGGTGAGTTGTGGCGAGCTCCACCGTCACATGCCCGTGGTGTAGGGTTATACATGAAAGTGCGTGTGAAGTGGGGGGGTACATAACTTCAAACGTTTCAGAGCACCACCCTCATCCCCATATGCACCGACTTCTGCGAAGTCAATGCTTTTTTCGGGGTCATCCCGCACCCGCCACCAGCAGCATGTATCCATGTCACGGGAAAACATCCTCACTTCATCGGGCCGTCTTTCCCCCCTTCCCCCTGGTATCTGCTTCACTCGCCAGTAGTTCGTAGTCTTACCCTCCTCCCCTTTTTCACTGGGTTGCACTGCACACCACCTTTCCTTGAGGGTGCGGCCCTTGGACTGCCGGGCAAGAGGGCTGCAGGGCGTATTTTTAATCATTCCTGCGTGCCTTTCCCCCGCCCCACACATCCCGCACATCCCACACACCCCACCCTACGTCAGGTACGGTGTGAGCGCCTCCCTCGACCTGCGGGAGTACCCTCCCTTGACCCGGCTGCTGCGATACGTCACTCATAAGGAGCTGGCGGTCAAGATTGTGCACAAGGTGGGTGGGAAGGGGCAGCCGCCACGAGGGTGGGAGTCGGGTGGCTCCAGGTTCGGCGGGTTGAGGGTGAGAGGTTCAGGCGAGATAGAGGGTCTGGCGGCTGGCTCGGGCGAGGCGGGAGGAAAAGAAAGGCGTGCAAAAGAGGAGTGCATGTGGCTGGGTGGGTTGAAGCCAACTGCGATTACACACTACACGCGGCAGGTGGAGGTATTTGCATGGGCGGTGGCCGGTGGGGGGTGGGACGGGGAGAGAGGAGTAGCTCCGTCCTGTACTGTTGTAACTTTTCGCGGCGTGGAGTGGAGCTTTAAGACATGGCTGATGAGCCAAGGGCAGAAGTTGACACGGCGGGTGTCATGAACAACAGGGGCCAGGACTGAGATGGTGTGTGTGTGTGTCTCTCTCTCTCTGTCATTTCCGCTCCGCGGCCTCTCCATTTCGTTTCGGTGGTAATAAAACGTGGCGGCGGCGGCGGCGGTGCCGGAGGTGGCAATACCAGTCTCTTAACACACTCACACCATTATCTGTGCAGTGGTGGCCACCGCTCCCCTCGCTACCCGCCGCTCCTTCGTCTGGCCTCCCCGTACAAGCGGGATCAGGTCTCCCCCAACATCTGCTGAGTGCTGTCTGAGTGTCGCGAGTCCGAGGCCATGTCTTTCTCCTCCTCCCGCCCCCTCCCCCTCTCTACCCCTCGTTCCCCCTCCGCCCCCTCCCTCCCCCGCTCGCACCCACCACCCCACAGGTCCTGGACTCTGGCTCCCCGGCTGCGGCCAAGGCGGCCCCTGGCTCCAGCACCGGTGCTTCCGGCATCACTCTAATCAGCAGTGTGGAGAAAGTGGGCAGCTTGTTCCGGTTCATTGCGCCGCTGGTGGCGGACCCGGATGTGCCCGGGGAGCCGGGAGGGGCGACGGAGCTGGACGATGAGGTGGGTGCGTGCCTGCCTCGGCGCGGCTCGTTTATGCTTGGCTTGGCATAGCGTGCTGTGCCTTGCGTGCTTAAAGGGAAAAGAAACAAGGAAACATGTTGTATATGTTTTTGATGTCGAGGCGCCTCGCGAGTAAGTGTTAGTAGTAGTGGGGGTGTTTTGGGTGTGTGCGAGCTCCATTATCAGTCTCTTCAGCAGGATTGTGCTTTTATAGGCTAAAACGCAAAGCGGCTCTACGGCTTCGGCGACGCATCTGTATCTGATCATGCTCTGTCGAAAAATCCCTTCATTGTTGATGATTTTCTACCGTAAAAGCTTTAGTTGGGGCTTTAAATGACTTAATGCTCCACATGGGTCAATCTCTGCTCCCCTCTCTCCCCTCCCCTCTCTCCTCTCTCCCCTCCTCTTTTTCCCGCTACGGCTTGCCATTTCCCTTCTTTTTCCCCTTCCCCCGTTCCCTCGCCGTCCCTTCCCCCATCTCTTCCTCCATATTAGGACCTGGACGAGGAGCAGGTGCTAGTGGCCCGGCTGCTGCACCACCTGCGCTCCCACGACCCCGACACCCACTTCGCCATCCTCAAGACCGCCCATCAGCAGCTCCTGGAGGGGGGTCCCCGCCGCCTGAGGACCACACTGCCCGCCCTGGTCTTCTGCGGACTGGAGCTGCACCGCAGACTGGCCAGACCGCACTCACAGCTGAAGGCAAAGCCGGCGGCAGCGGCGGCGGCGGCGGCGGCAGGCGCGGCCGCGGATGGCGAGGGGGGTGGAGGCGCGGGTGCGGAGGAGGAGGCGTGTGGCAAGGACGGGGATGCGGGTACGACAGTTGATGAGGGTGAGAAGGAGGCGGCGGCAGCGGCGGCTGCGGAGGAGGAAGCGGCGGCGCCGGCTGTTGCCACCACGACGCCTACGGTGAGGGGCCTTATGGGCTGTCCTCTATTTAAATTAGGCTCTTCCGTGTAGTATTTGGGAGGGAAGGATCCTCTCTGGGTGTGCCGTTTGTTCTTTCCATCCCTGAGCTGACGAATCCATTTGGCTAGTCGGGTCTGGCTTGCCAAATCGATTTTGCCTGACCATGATCCCTGCCCCAACTGCTATGGTGTTCCTGCTCTCATCTCTCTTGTCCGGCAGATTACTTGCGAGGCGCTGCTGCAGTTCCTGCTGGCGGCCATCGAGCCCCTGTACGGCGGGCCTGCGGGCCAACCCGTCATCGCGATGCGGCTGCTGCTTGTGTGTGGTTACGTGGCCAGTGAGGAGGCCCACCTGGAACTGCTCTCGTACACGTTCTTTGAAGAGGTACGGGTGTACGGCAACATGTATGGCCCTGGTTGCGAAGATGCAGGGGTGGCACCCCTAGGCTCACCATTTCCACGTTCCGCCGTACAGGGCCGTGCTTCTGTGCTCTCCTCTCTTGTCCACCATCAAAGCTGCAGCGGCTGGTTGAGCCTACCTAGGGCCCCCGGGTGCCCTCAACCGTAACGTGTTGTTTCGCAACATGGGATGAGTTGAGGGCAGGGAGTGTGGGAGTGTGGGGTTCGCTGAGAGAGCCGGGGGGGAATGTGGTGGAGGGCCGCGCGGGATGTGGTGCACCACAAACATGACGGCATACTGCGGCCTCCACCGCACTCCGCATCCCTCCCACTCCACTCCTCTTTCCCCCCCGGCAAGATCACCCCTCCTCGCCATTGCTTTTACCCCGCTACCACCCACCCGCGTGGCTATCTTGTAGGCAATCACCTTGTACGACGAGGCGCTGGCAGACCAGCGCACACGCGCCGCGGCGCTGTATGACATTATTGGTTACCTGCAGCGCTGCCGCGCCTTTGGCCCCGAGCACCGTGACAGCCTCACCTCCGCCGTCACCGCGGGCTGTATGAGGTTGCTGTCACGGCGGGAGCAGTGCAGGGCGCTGTGCGCGGCGGCCTTCTTGTGGTGGCAGCCGCTGCCGGCAGCGGTGAAGGTGGGCGCCGCTGCAGGGGAGGGTGCCGCCAAGGACGACGGGGCAACGGGGACGCGCGCGGAGGGGGCCCAGGGCGACGTTGATGTGCGGAAGGCGGAGGCGGGGCCGGCACTGGTGGAGGCGGTTGCGGCTGGGGTGTATCCTCCTGTGCGCGATGGAAGCAAGGTGCGTAGGAAGGAGGGAGGGATGGGAGGGATGGGAAGGGCGCATATCCCTTACATGCGCCCCGCTGCTGAGATCATGTTTGAAGTATTCCAATTTGGCGTTTTGCGTTCATCTCATCCAATCTCATCTCGTTTCGTTTCGTCAAGCGCAGGCATGTGCTTCCGATGGACCGAATCGCCGCAGCCGCCCCCCTCGTGTATGGTGTCGTCGTACGCGGTTCGGTTTGCTTGCTGCATGTCCGACCTCGCCGCGCATGTCGCAACGTGACGTTTTTCGCGTGTTATACGCACACGTGCAGGTGCTGTCCGTTCTCCAGCGGGCCGCCAAGGTGGCTGCGCAGTCTAAGGCGCAGTACTGCAGTACGGGTCGTGTACGTGACGCCACTTACCTGTGCGCCTACCTGGAGGTGCTGGACTGCCTGATGAGGTGCTGGGATTGCGAGGTGGCCGGGGTGGACACGGATAAGGTGAGTTGGGCCGGAGGGTGAAGAAGGTATTGGGCAGCGTTAGGAGGAGGAGCAGATGCGAGAAAACGCGAGAAGGGAAGGGTTTATGAGGAGGCGGCAAGAGGAAGACATTTGGCGTGGATTGGGGGAAAGGGGGAGGAGAAGGGGGGGAAAGACGGAAGGAGGTTTGGCGCGACGTGCAGAGGGATAGTTGCACGGGGCTGGAGGAGGACTAGTGTGTGCTGCGGGGCCCGTGCTGCGCACGTACGTTGTTGGGTGTGGTACTGAGCTTGGGGGGAGAGGAGAGCTGTGCCAGGAGGGGTAAGGGCAGAGCAGAGGCTCTGGAGGGGAACACGGAGGGGGCGAAGGAAAGATGTGTGTAGCTGACGAGCACTGGTGCAGTGGGGTCGTCGTGGCGTCCCAATCCTTGTCCTCTCCACCGAGACCGTCCCCAGTCTCCACGGCAGCCGCCTGAACTGATGGGGCAAGTTATTGACGCAAAAGGGAGTCACCTCCCTCCCTCCCCTCCCCTCCCCTCCCAGCCCTGCATGCGGCGACCCCAACCCTTCATGCACGAGATATCCTTTTCGTTCCTTTCCACCCCCAACAACCAACAACCAACAATCAATATCTCGACTTGGTTCCCGATCGCTTTCCAACGCCTTCCCGCCTCGCTCCACTTGCCCCGCCCTCCTCCTCCGTCAGGGACCTCACTCAGTCCCTCCGCACTCCCTATTCTCAACAACAGCAGTCCCAACTCTCAACTCTTTCCTTCTCGTTGTAAGCGTTCTGTTCTGTACGGTCCTCTGCTCTGTTAGGTCCAGGAGCTGATCGACCGGGTGCAGTCCGACCTTGCCGCGGGCGTGCAGCCCGATGCCGAAACCGCTCGCCGCTGGCAGTCGACGTTGTCTTATATTGCCGCCAGCGCACAGCAGCCACAGGGCAAGGAGCGATACGGCAAGTTGAAGGTGCCGAAGGCGGTAGCAGCATGAGAGGAAAGAGAGGCGCTTGATGCGAGGCAGGGCAGGGGGGGGGATGGGGAGGACCTCCGGCGGCGGCGCGGGCGGACAGTGCTGTGAAAGGAGGTTCGTGAGTGGGAATACTATACTATTGGGAGTGTGCGCTGTAAAACAACGTGGGTGGTGCTGCATGAGATGTGGTGCTGCACGCGCGTACTGGTTCCTTGCCTTGCCGCTACTTAAAGCCTCTGGGTATCGGTGCCGCGGGTGCGGATGCAGTGGCGGCGGTTACAGCCGCGGCGGCAGTTGGCGGCGGGAAATGATGCCGGTACGACACCGCCGGTATCATTATCGCGACTGCGGCGTCTGCACCCTGCGGCTGTGTCCGGGCTGCTGGATTGGCGTGGCTCCGCTACTGCTGGTGCGCTAACTGCTGCTACTATGGTGACTGTCGCACGCGCGTGCTGCAGCTATGTGCTGTGTCGGCTGTCTTGGGCGGGTTACAGGAGGACAGGCTGCTGGTCCGTTTTGGTGGGCTGTGGCGATCGGACACGCAGTTCGTAGCGTAGTGGCGGAGCCGAGGAACGGAGCAGAGACGTATCTGTCGTCAGAAAGGGTCGAAGCGACACCCGGCGCGGTGCTGCCAGGGAGTAGCCAGGGAAAGGCTGCGGGCCGGGAATATTTAAAAGTCGGTGAAAGGAAATGAACTGCGGCTCTGTGCGGGTCCGGCAGAGGCCCCAGCCGGCAAAGCAGCGGCAGTAACTTTCCTGCTTTTGGTTAGCGTTCAGGTGGAGGAGAAGGTATGGGGAAAGGAGTTAGCGGCTTCTACGCGCATCGGGGCAGGTGCGAGGCCTGCGTGTCCCCTTAGGGGCGTTTTATATGGAATTTTTAGAGAGGGTAGGGACAATGAAGTCTTGGCATGAGCGGTTTGGTAGGTGCGTAGTTTTGTTGGCGATGTAACCTGTGCGAATATTGCTGTAGGCACACAATGTTGGATTTGTCAGGCATCTTGTTGAGGGTTGGGCAATTGGTGGAGGGTTGATCTGGAGGAAAAGGAGCTGCTGTGCTTGCGGCAACAATAACAACGGCAGCGGGCTTTAGAGGGGCTTGCGTCATAGCCCACTTTGGACCCCCCGAACGACGGGATGCAGTCAATAGTAAGATGGCCGCAGGTGGCCTCTTGTCATTCCAAACAGAATCAAACATTTTCGCTGTAATCAGGAAGGTATCTTGAATTATTGGGGCTAAATAGCCAAGCGCCTGACAGCTTGCAGCAAAAAGCTGTAAATCGCTCTCGCAGCCGCAGTCGTCTGAAGCTGCGATCTTCTTGCTTTTGAAAGGCGGCCTCAGGAGATACATCTTGAAGACCAAGCGCGAGCGGTGGGAGCAGGGAGCTTTCCTAGGGCGTTTGCTTGACTTTTTCGGAACCGGGAGCAAACCTCCATAGGTGCCGCAAGCGCCCGGGGTCTACGTCAGCGCCAATCCGCTCTATCGCATAAAGGTTTACATTCGCCATGATGGTCAAAGCTGAGTTGTTTCGTAGCGGTTGGGAAGGGAAGAGTCGAAACCAAACCCTTGGACGCCAGTGAAGAGCTTGACCGCCCCGCTTCCAAAGCAACAGCTTTTGGAGCCCAGAAGGGCAGCTGCACGCTCTAAAGCTACTCTCTGCAAGGCTCTTTGTTATAAATTAAAAAAGGCGACCTGTACAGAACACCACTTGCACCCACCGCCGCAAATGCACGCGGCGCACCTGATCGCGCTACCGCCTTCCCTTCTTTCCCCCCCATCAGAACGTTAATGGCGACATCGGTCCCTTTCTTCGTTCCTTCCCCCCATGCAGCACCCTCGCCCGACCTGCCGTACAACATCCAGAGGCGCCACCGCGGCGAAACCAGCTTGTCCAGCGGCCCACGTCCTCTTCTCGCACTAAGCTACAAGGCCACAGGAAGGCAGCTGCGGCACTTCACAGTCGCGATCAGCGCCGCTACTCCAACCTGCCTGCCGCCTCCACTATCCCCAAGTCATCACCGCCACCAGCACCATCCCCATCAGCAATAGTCCTAGTGGCACTAGTTAGTTAGTGTACAACAGGGTCGAGGTATCCTCACAACCACCAGGTCGCGAGGCCCCCTCCCTCCTCCCTCCCCTGCCCTCCTCATGGTGCGGGTGCCAAATCCCTTCAAGAGGGGAAGCCGCGGCACCCAGAGTGGCACTGCCACACCCGCCTCCTCCGCAGCCGTCTCTGCCGGCCCCTCCACACCCCGCAAGCTATCCTCCCACGCTCTCAACACTCTGGATGACAGCGGCGGCATCGGGGCCGTGGCTGCCGGCGGCGGCAGCCCCCCGACTGGGGAAGCCGCCGCTGTTATTGGCTTCGGTGGTGAAGGGGGCGACACCTCCGTAGAGAAACGCGCAGCGCCGTGGGGTTCGGCGCAGTACGACGACGTCACCGGCGCAGTCGGCAGCGGCGAAATTGACCGGCGGCATCAGGCCCATTACGGCCTCCTCTCGGCGCAGATCGCGCAGGCTAAACAGCGCGAGCAGTACCGTCAGCATCATCCACCGCACCTGCAGGAGCACTATTCGCCGCTGGAAGCGGCGGCGGCGGCGCCGCCGCTGCCGGCTGGGGAAACGCCAGCGGCGACAGCGGCGACGTCGGCGCCAGGTGAAACGGCGGCCGGCGGCGGCTGGGAGGCATTCATCGGTTTGGACCCCGGCCTCTTCGCGGGGCCTGACCAAGATGGCCCGTACTGCAGCGTGCTGATGCCGCCCGGGGTTAGCGGCGGCAGCCTGGCGGCGCCGGCACCGCCGGTAGTGGTTTCGGAGATCCCGGCAGCGCCCATCACCATGGAGCGACCTGCCCCTCGCAACCTGCCTGACTATATCGACCAGCCAGGTGCGTTCGGAGCCGCCCCACAAAGCAAGGTGTTGGAAGGTGTTTTCTCCCTCCCTGGGGGGAGCCACCTGTGGGGGCTGAAGGGGCTGAAAGGCGGGCACGCACCGCACCCGGGGAAGTGACTTGGACTGTCGGGGGTCCCTACCTAGACCCTACCTACCTACTTACATACCTACCTAGCTCGCCCCGACTTGGACCTCCCCCGTCAGGCCTCTGAGAAGAAGGGCATCCAGGTCGCATACGTGTGTGTGTGTGTATGCGTATGTATTACACCTGGAGTTGCGTTACGCCCCGAAGGTGCAACTTGGGGGTCATACGAGCCATGAGGGGGCCTGAGGGCCTACAGCCTAGGATGCGCAAGCGAATGGACACGGGCACGGATGGCTGTACACCGTCATTGGCGCAGGACAGAAGATAATTACATACCGGCAGCAGTGTACGGCAAACAGCAGCCTCGAAACCCACCTACCCCAAGCATTCCCTGACTGGCTCGTGATTTTCTGCTGGGCTTCGTCGCCGCCGCCGCTCGTCTTACCCATACCCATATTTCCCGCAAGCTACGGCAATGCCGTCCTCCGCGCCCCTCCCAACATGGCCATTCCACCCTAACCTGCGTCGCCTTTCATACCAGTGCACCTGGGCCCTGGTTTGCAGCTGTTGACCCTGTATCGTGGCCATTCCATCACCGCCGCTCCCTGCCCCCCTTGGCCGCCCTCAGGTGACCCGCGGGTCACATCTACTCCCGACAAGTTCCACCCCAACGGCCATCCTCTGACACCGCCCGAGGGCTCCCTCACCTCCCTGCAACAGCATTTCGCATTTTTCGACATGTGAGTTGTTCCGGTGGTTTGGTGCTATCCACGTGCTGTCACGCAGCAGAGCCGCTGTGCTTTGCCCCGTCTGTTGTCGTCAGGCGACCGCCTTTGGATCACCATTGGATCTGGATCCGGTTTCCGGTTTCCTTCCGATGCATATCCCACGGCCTAGGATACCCCACGGCGCTTCAGCTGTCGTCCGTGCCACCATCAGTCTGCCGCGAAATTTGATTCTTCATACATACATGCAGGCGGCTGGCAGAGGTTAAGGCCTGACTTCTGCTCCCGGTCGACCCGGGTTCAAGTCCGCCTGCCGGCTCCTGGGGTGTTTGAGGAGTGTTGAAATGGGAGGTGGACACCCATCATATGGACGATGTAGGACGTAATAATATCAACTTGCGAGCTGACCAGAAGTTGATGCGCCGTTGATCCGCTAGATTTGGTTGGATGCTGGTGGTGAGTTGCCGAACTCAACGTATACATTCTGAAGTCGGATGAGGTGACGGATTAGGGTGCCCCTCTTGCAGGGGAGAGCAAGGACTGCCCCGGGAAAGGGGGCCGCTGGCGAAGTTAGCCACCCTGTAACAACATACATACAAGCATGTTTGATGTCGTGCTGCTCGTCTGTCCGCCTGCCCGACCCACCCACCGACCCACCGATCAACAGCAACAAGGACGGCATCATCACTCTCGGCGAGTGCATCACCGGTAAGCTCGGTTGCCAACCCCTTCTTCCAGCCCTTGTCGTCTCCCTTGTTCGTCGTGACTTTGCATTTAACTCCCTCCCCCTCCCCCCTTCCACCAACCCTCGGGCCGAGGGGAGGAGAGGGAGGTCCACGTGTACCGAGAGGAGTGCCAGGAAAGGGGGGTCCCGAGCTCTGAAAGCACCTCCTCAAGCACATACCCCTGCAGCCCTCGGGTTTGCATCCGTACTTCAACAGCATGTGTTCCCCTTAACAACATGACATGTCATATCATATGCAATAATGTGTACCATGTAATGTTGTACGCGTTTGCGCGCACCAATCTTACTGTAAAATCTGAGGTATGGCGTTCCCTGTGTTTCCTTTCCTGTTGTCATGATGTGTAGAAATGTACTTGTGACGTGCATCATATTTGATGATTCTCGTGCATCCATCATCACAAAAAGCAAAATTCGCGCAACGAATACGAATACGAATACGAATGAATGCAGGCTTCCGCTACTTATTGCGACGACTGCTGCCTGAGCCGCTGAACACGCTGGCGGCGGTACCTGTGGCGATGGCGGTGCAGCTACCTTTGAGCTGGTTGACCGCGGACAGCTGGTTGCCTGATCCGCGACTGCGGGTGTACGTCCGTAACGCTCACAAGTGAGAGGAATACCCTTGTTTACCGTTGTTTTAACGGGTGACTTGCTTTGGAGGAGGAGGTAGGAGTGTGTGCATGTTATGGGACCGCACATGTTTGAGAAGATGGCATTCCGATTCGGCGTAGGACCAGAGAGTCCTCTCAAGTTTATTTAAATAATAAAAACTCCATAAAAAGTCCTCCTGGGGCACTGTCTGTCGTGTACATGAGACAGGGTCGTACACGGCAGCAACTCTAAGGCGTGGGACCGCTCCGGCCACTTCACGCCCGCGCGTTTCGAGGCCGTACTCTCCAAGTACGACAGGGACGGCAAAGGGGGCCTTACGCTGTGGGAGGTGTTCAGCTTTCTGCGGGGCCAGGCGAACCTGGGCGACGTCTTGGGCATGTGAGTATCCTGAGGGACCTGGAGGGTGGTGAGCGAAGTGGAGGACGACGAGGACAGCGAGAGCAGCTCGCGGGTGTTGAGGGGGGCAAGGCTCAGTAAGGCAGAACAGTAGGCGGATATCCCCCGGGGGGGGGGGGAGAGAGACGGATGGAAGTCGTTTCGCTCGCCAGCTCCAAAAGCTGCTGCTGCTGCTACTGCTACTGCGAGAGACTTAGTTCAAGCTTCCGGCCTCACCCTCGAGGCTTCAGATGATAGCTGTGGCCCCCATCAGGAGGTTATTTGAGTTACCTTGCTTTCGCAATTTCCTATGCGGCAAATCCCGGGTAAAGTATGTAAATGTAAATGCGTTTCCTGCATGCAATGCAATTTAGCGCCCGCTAGTTTTAAGTCGACTGCCACTACAGCGCATTGGAAAAGGCGATTGGTCGTCCTGGATGTCTTGGTGCTTTGGCAGATCGCCGCTGCTTTCTGATGTGATATATGTTGGAGGTTTTAAGGAAGGACACTTTTGCAATCTGTTGGAATATCCTTAACCTCTGTACCACCCCTCTTGGACTGCTTGGTCCTTGTTCCTGTCCTGATCTGGATCCAGATCTGGATGCAGTTCCAGATTTGGATGCAGTTCCAGATTTGGATGCAGTTCCAGATTTGGATGCAGTTCCAGATTTGGATGCAGTTCCAGGTCTTTTTTAAACGTTCTTGAACCCCATGCTTGCCTCCGGCTGCTTGAACCCCCGCCAAGTATCAAGGGTCCAACTCCACCACTCCCTGCAGAATGGCCAGCAGCGGGGAGTGGATCATGACCTGGGCGCTGCTGCGGGATTCCACTGGTGTACTGCGACGCGAGGATATACGGGGAATGTACGACGGTACGGCATTCTATCGCCTGGCGGAGCGCAACGGCTATAAGCACTACGGGATGCATGGGGGCCGCGCCCCGGCCGTGAAAATAGGCTATGCGTGAGGAGGGGGTTGTCGAAGGAGGGGCTGGGAGGGAGATGGAGGGGGGGAGCATTGGGCCCCGGGATGGTGGCGGGGGCGGGCTAGGGCGGGGGCTAGGGAGGGGGCACAGATGGGAACCATACACAGTGAGATTCGGGGAAGCCATGTTGTTGTCCCGCGCCATAGGCCTGCCACGTCTCTCAAATGTTGGCAGTTCCGTGTTGCTACTTTCGCTGCCTGGGCACAAGCTTGGGTTCCACGAGATTGCTACGCATCGCCACGCACTCGAGATTGCGCTGTTCATTGTTCGGCTCGTTGGATTGGTTTTTGGTTGGTGATATGGTTGGTTCGTTGTGAAGCGTGTGTGGGGGGCGGGATACATTAGCCTGCTGAACGGGAGGTGTAGTTTGGCCACTGCTGGAGTGGGATGCAGCAAAAGCTGTATAGTGGGCACGATATAAGGTAGGGCGACGTAGCACGTGCTATTGTTGTAAAGGATACAGCATGCCCTGTGGTGCGGTTTAGGTTGGGATTCGCTGTGCGCGGGTCCGCAAGTTTTAAGTTTCAATTTGCAAATGCACAGCTTGGGTACAGCATGCTTCACTGGCACTTTTCGGGTCAAAAACAAAGGCCAAGCCGAATGTCTGGAACGACGATATGGTAAGGAATGCGCACTGCGTTTGCGTGCGTCGAGTGCAAGCGAAGATTTAAAACCAAACATTTTTGGGCAACTAATATAACCCTGCTACGATGCGGAAAAGGAAAGGGTAGGCGGCAGTGAGGCTTTCATCAAATTTGGTTGGGTAACATTTGCAGGCATTACTCGTGACGTGGTTTTTACGGCCTAATTATAAGCTCCCTCACTAGGGCAGGGATATTATTGGCTTGTTCATAGTGCAGAAGCCATGCTATCAAACTCAAAGCAAGAAGAGGTAAAGACAAAGTCAGGTGAAAGGTAATAGCTGTGCAAGCCATGCTACGTACACTGGGAGAAGAGCGCAGTTGGCGGCTGTGGCAGCGGTTAGCGCAATTTCGTCCTGCAGCAGGCTTGCATGTGTTCTAGAAAGCTATTTATAAAAACATTACGTACGCTTTAACTTCAATAACAGTATACGTTCTGGTATAGTAAGGACCGTTCGGGTGACAGCTTTGTCGGAAATGCACTAGGCGAAGAAAGATTGCACAAGTTTACGCAATGTGATGTAGCTCAGCTGAAGATGAGAGCAAAGGTTATACACCTGGAGCTCTTATTTGTGGCACGTGATCATCCTCTTAGAACTGAGATGCTCCTCGTCGGTTGATAAAGTAACAATTGTGGCCGCGTGGCGAGTTTTCCATGGTGTTTGTCTCAGCGGTTCATTTTGCACCATACTGTCATGTGCATATTCGTCGTAAGAATAAACATTGCAGCATCGCGTGTACTTGTCCGTATAAAGCGCTGGTGGCGGGAAAAATGCAAGCGCTTCGATGATTACGGAGGGTTGCGCTTCTGGGTCAGACGTGGCACAAAGTTACGCAGAAGTGAAACCGCTTGTTTGAAGCAATTATATTATATTATGAGGTTATTCTTACCTATCCAGCCGATGCATTTTTTCTTCCGTTGGGTTTTGCATTTCCTTCGTGTAACCAACTGAAAATGCGGATTCTTCATGCCGAGAAAATGTATATTGCATAGACCACATCTAACAATTAAGGCCCACTTTTCAGTGTCAGGGGCGCAAATGTTGCTGGTGATCGTGTAGCTGTACCAACTGGCGCCGAGATGGGATTGCCGTGAAATTCAACAACTAACTTGCACATTCACGAGCTGTTTGCGGGCATATACCTTCAGAACCTTAGCAGAGTAGACTTACTTGGAGGGAGGTATGAATATTCATACGTGGCCAGATGGGGAGTTACCGCATCCAACGCAGGGGGTGGTAGAATAGTACGTCCGATTAGGGAATCAGGAGCTTTGCAAGGCACAAGAATTGTGCTCTACAGCACCATTGACCTATTGCCAAAGCTGCAGGCGGTATGCACATTTTTCGTTGAAGTACAGGAGCGCGCGAACGTACTGAGGTGTGGAGTTAGCAAGCTCCATACGGCCAAATCCGTCAAATCATTCAGCCGCAGGAGGATATCTATCAAGCAGCCTTCGCGCATTGCATATACTGAGCCAGCTTGTAGCGCCGCGTGGACTTAACTACGACATCCCCCGCTTCGTCGAGCCCAAGCCTTTGGCATGACCCACAATGACGGCTGGACTGCCAAGCACAGAAATGGCGATATCGTAAGTGGCTTTTTTGTAAGCCAAGACTCAATGCGAAGCTCGAAAACTGTTTGCGCAAGCAATGGCCGCCTCTTGCCTTGCAGGTCGCCCGTTTCCTTAATCTTGGGGTTGCAGATGCAAGCATGCGGTGATGACTATGACCCTAACAGTTTGCAGCACGGCCTCCAGCAGCCTGCTGCAGCTGAGGACGCAGTGAGCCTCGAAGGCCACATAATCGTAGAGGACACACACGCTGGGAATGATTCGCAAGCCGTGGTTTTGCCTCCACTTAGTGAGAGTGAAGGAGCTCACCTTTCGATGTCCGAGTCAGATGCGAGAGACCTTTCTTGCTTGCCTCTGGGCGCCGATGTCTCAGATGTCAGCGACACCGACACCCACAAGGAACCGACGTCGGAGCTTCTGGAGGTCGGCTCTAACACTGATAGTGCGGGAAGTAGCAGCGGTCAATATCAGAAAATAAATCGTCGTCACACTGGCCAAGGCTTCAAGGGAAGTGCCGCTCTACCAACGGCTGGTGGCACCAATCCATCGGCGCGACCAACTGTTAGACGGACCTCCAATGGCGGTGGCCCCCAACCGGCCCTCGGAAAGGTACGAATTTTTGTTCGTAATACACCCTGACCAGGCCCCGACAAGGCATGAAACGACATAATACTTAGGTTTTTTCGCCAGTCGCCAGTTTTTTTGTTGTAAAGCGCTCATTTCGGCGGTTACGGCTGAGACGCAGAGCTGCGGGCATCTGGCACCGGATTCTGTCAGGGCGTATCCTTAATCATCGAATTGATTGTGCTTGGGGTAGCTGGGAGCGTGGTGGCAAGGTCGCGGGCGGTGTTGGACGGCTCATGCGGTGCTTCTTACCTGCCTTCGCTCTGGCCAACTTGCCTTGGAGCAAAGCGTACTAACGCAGAGCCCCTAGCTTGGCGAATGTATTGTGCTTGGTGTTCGAATGCCACGTTCGTGCTGCTGTTAGGCATATGCGTCCGTGAAAATGCCACTGAGCCGATAGCTCTTTCGATGTGTGTTGCGCACGAATGCTTTGAGATCTAGTCCCCAAATGTCGAAAACCGCGAACATGTAGCTTTTCATCACAGCCGGATCGAGCTGCCTCAGTCAGCTGACTGCCCAACATCCGGCTATGGCGTTGTCGAGGAAATCCAACTTTACCTGGAGCCGCTGTGCCGCTTTCCTTTCCTATCAACACATATGTTAACTTAATATATGAATGCGCGCTCCAGGGATTATTGCGCCGGGTTTAGCGCTCTTTACAAAGATCAAGCTGGCAGAAGGTTTTAAATGATCTGTCGTATATCGGAGCCACGTGGCCTCTTATAGGTCAATCTCATAATTGACGCAATTTTTGCAGCAAACACACCTGGGGCTTGTCCAGTAAAGTCGTCTGCCCGTCTGCCATTCCACTGACCTTCGTTCGCTAACCCGGAGGCCTGCACCCCATCTCCGGCTCCAGGTATGCGACCTCATCCTGGACATGGACGCCGCCGCCGCCGCCGTAAGCGCCGCCTTGACGGGCATCCCGGGCGGACCACCCGTCCAAACTCGCAAGAACGGCCCCGGCGACGCTGCCGGAACCCTCGGTGTACGCCACTGCGGTGCCGTACACCCGCCACCGCCGCCGCCGCCGCCACCACCTCGTCGCAGCTTTTCCCATCACACGACAACCACCATCGCCACGGCTGCAGGCGCGCTCTTCGGTGTACACCCTAAGGCAGGAGCGCTGTATCCATTCTCGTTCCTTCAACAGCACCAGGCGCCGCCGCCGCCGCCGCCGCCGCGGCAGTACCTGCGCACCTTGTCCCAATCCTCGCAGCCGTACCACCTGTCGCCCGCGTCTTTGCCCACCCCGGCATCTGGTCGCGTCACGACGCGTATCGCTAATGTAGTCGGCGTCGGTGCGACCGGTTGCCATATGGGCGCGTTAGCGCCACCCAGTGCCCAGGGCCAGATAGCGGCAGGTGTCAATGCTACAGCAGTAGCAGTCGGCGCCAGCTCAGTACTAGGCGAGTCTCCAGAGGCGGCTCAGTACCCGTCCCTCAGTACTGCAGAGCTGCCGCCGCGCTGGCGCTTCAGCATTAGCGGGCCCACCGCAGATCTGGGGCGGGACTTCACGGCGCCACAGCGACCCATGGTTCGTTGGCATGCCAGCAGCAGCGGTCTGGCTACTGATCTGCCGCCGTACCAGTACGACTGCCAGCCGTACGGTTTCCAGCAACCAGTGGTCTCGCCGTCGTACCTCCAAGGCCCTTCAGTGCCGTCTCCGCAGCAGCACCCGTTTCAAGGCCAGGCCCAGCCCATGCTGATCCCCGGCACGTCCCAAGCACAGCTCCAACACCTGCAGCCCCAGCCGATAAGGCAGGCTCGTTCGGGACCGCTGATTGCAGCGCAGCAGCAACAACAACGCCACCATCATCTTCAACAACAACAACAGCAGCAGCAGCAACTGGATCGTGCAACAGCCAACCGCCTGATCGCCCTGTCCCAGCTACAGCAACAGCTGGGCGTACAGTCCGCCACTGCGCGGCAGCCCACCACCGCCGCCGCCGCTGCCGCGGCCGTCGGCTCAACCCTGACGCCATTGTCTCAATCGCTCCAGGTCAACATGCTAGCGCACCCTCACTGCTCCCTGCTGCCTCAGGCAGCGGTGCAAACCAGCACTCCACTGCATTCGCCTTTCGTGGGTGGTGTCTTGGGGCTCACCGAGCTCGGTTTCGACGTATGCACCGGAGTTGACCCGGGCACGAGGAACGCAGCGGGCGGCGTGGGTGCGCGGGCAGGCGGGGGACCGGGACCGGACCTGGCCGTCGCGGGTTCGGGATCTCCACTGCCTGGTGGCGCGGTTACCTTGAGCACGTCTCCCCGCCTCGGACATTTGCCACACCAGGAGTACCCCGGCGTGCCGGGGGATGGGGAGCACGAGCAGGAGCCTGGTCAAAGGGGCCCCCGGACGCAGCTGTTGGGTTTTGCGGCTAACGATAATTCTCGACAACAGCAATTTAACTTCAAGACTGAGGAGCATGCTTTGCAGCAGCAACAACAACAACAACAGCAGCAGCAACAACAACAGCAGCTCCTGGCGGTTATGGCGGCCGCAGCGGCGGCGTGGCAGCGGCCGCAGTGCGACGCACAGGAGGACTTGCAACAATCGTTGCCGCCGCCGTCTCCACAGCAGCAGCAGCTGTTGCATAAGGCACAGGCCCTAGGTCGGCCGTCTCCACCGTTATCTCTGGAAGGCGTTGCACAGTACGGCTCCCCGACAAGCGGTGAGTCCATTGTGGGTGAAGAATTGGGTCTCGGAGCGTTGAGGAGCTGGGGCCAAGGATTCTCCTGGGTCTGGGCGCACTAGGATAGCGTCCTGGCCCACAGCGTCTGTACTGTCAAGCCGAGGGGAAGGCCTACAGTACATGCTCGAGCACCACCTCTTAGCCGTTCTTCCATCGCAATGCAAGCATATGCGTCGTGTTCCTATCATGAAATTGTAATATTTGCTGTTGCGGTGCTATTGATTTTATTGTCGCTGTTTAAAGCTGTGACGTCGACAGTGGTTAAGATTTGATTTCCTAATTTTAAAGCTATTACGAACCAATGCCGCGACACGTCGCATATCCTTCAGCTGTCCGGACCTAGATAATAAGTAATCAAACGTTATCAAATATATTTTACATGTATAGAAACCGTTTGTGCGGGCTGAAATGTATCAAGATTGATTAAGAACGAAGTCATCGACTTCAAGGGTTCTAATCTGACGCCCTGCTGCCTGCAGTCTGCATGTATATCTGCATCTTTGGATTTGCCTGATTTGCCTGCCAAACCAGTAAACTTCGCCCGCCTCTGGATGACCGGGCCCACGCGCCACAGGCTCCCGAGTTCAAGCCGCGGCCGGTGGACGGCTCCAAGCCATTATGCAGGATGACCCTATCGCGCTCGTACGACTGTACGAGAGATCCCTCACCGCCGCAATGGCGGATGCCCAATGCGGCCGCGGACCGGTCAGCATGCAGCAGCTGCATCACGAGCACGAGCTGCTGCAGGGGGTTGCCGGTCTGCTGGCGGCCAACACATCCGCCGCAGCCATGGCAGCGCAGACGGCGGCCTCAGGCAGCGGCGAAGCCGAGGGTTGCCCGGACATAGACATCGACATGGAGCTAGCGATGTTGTTGGTTTCGGCGCGCCGCCACACCGCCGAGTGGCCTAGTCTGTCAGAGCCTTACAAGTACGGCATAATGATCACCGCCAGGGCCTTATCCCTGGGCCTATTGGATGCGGCAGGCAAGGGCCAAGCGCTTAATGAACGGTTGTACGGCGCCGTACAACCGCTTCTCTACACACTGGCGGAAAAGGACGAGTCTTTCCTGGGTATGTTGCGCGCTGCCATGCCGCCCCCGTCGGCGGCGGAGGGGACAGCAACGACGGGATCCACGTCGGCGGCGACGGCAGCTGAGGGGGATGCCACGTCAGCAGACGACAGCGTCGCCTCTGCACCCGCGGCGGCTTCACCGAAGCTGGCTCGTTGGTTATTGGAGACCCTCTGCACGATCGGGGGGTCCGCGGTGGGCGCGGCGGCGGGTAGCGACCCCGTCACCGCCCCTGCCGCCGCTCCCGCACGCGACTGGTCGTGGCGAGCGCGGGTACCTGGTGGCCCTTGCGAGAGCGATTGCGACACCGTCCTAGGATCCAGCTCCGGCGGCGCCGCCGGCGCCACAAGGCCTAGCTCTCAGGGCGAAGTCGAGCACAGTGAGGATGACCCTGGAATGACGGGCTTGGCCGCCGGCGGCTGCGCTGCGGTGGCTGCGACCCGAGCCGTGCCCCTGCAGCCTGAGGCGGCTGGCCAAGACCGCGCAGCTGGCGGCGGTGGCGGCGGCGCCAACAGCGATCCGCAAAGATTCCTGGGCCGTTCTTCCTCTGCGCCGGCAAATCGTGAGGCGAGGGGTCGCCTGCTGAGCAGCCTCTTTTCCTCCTTCAACAATAGCACGGCACGCGCCAACGCTGCGGCCGGCAGCGGCGGCTTTGGCGGCCCTAGCGGCGCCCTCGACGCCGGCTCGCTGGCGCAGTTATTGGACGATGATCCGGACCTGCTTGGCGCCGCCGCCGCCGCGGCAGCGCTGGGCGGCTGGCATGCGGGCGGCGGTTCCGACAGCGGAGGCGGCGCGCTGGACTCCACTGCTTCATCTTCCGTACTGGCCTCCTTCCTGGAGTCATTCGGCGCTGCCAGTCGCAGCAGCATGGCGCTATCGCCGCTGCTAGATGGGTGCAGCAGCGGCAGCCTGGACATGTCAAGCCTTAGCCTCAGCATCCACCCCTCGCCCCGTACATCCCCAGCGAACCCCTTAGCTATGAGAAGGGAGCTGGCGGCGGCGGTGGCGGCGGGTGCAGAGATCAATTCCGCTGGTGCCGCCGCGGCTGCGGTTGCGCAGCCGTCGTCGTCGGCGGCGGGGCCGCCGGCACCCAACTCTTCTGCTCAGTCGCTGCTGGCGGCGCCCCGACAGGGCCCCCCTGGTGCCGCTGGCTTGGTGCAAGTGCAGCTGTCGCCGCACTCCGCGGAGTTCGGGTCCGCGGTGGCGGCCGCCGCGGCGGCGATGGCGGCCGCGGCGGCTACCGGACCCGCGATTGGGGGACTGGCTGGATCACCGTACGGTGGATTTCCTCTTGACGTGGGCAGCATGGGGCCTGGCGGGCAGATGCGGCCTTTAGACATGCTGCAGTACCACCAACAGACCTTGAGCAACAACTATCACATCCACTGCCAGCAGCAGGCGCAGCAGCAGTACCAGCATCAGCAGCCGCTTGATGCGGCGGCTCTGGGAGCCTTATCTGGTAAGTTAACATGTTTTGCGTGTTTCACATTGCTGTTTTCTTTTTGTGCGACCTTGGCTTGCGGCGTGTATTCGTGCATGCGAGCGAGCGAGCGAGCGTGCGTGAGGATGCAAAGTGTGTGCTCTTCAAAAAGGTACAAAAGAAGCCTAGGTAAAAGAATGGTACAGAATTGCAATAGCGTATAGCAGCAACGGGAGGGAGCAGCAGCTGCAGTGGCACCACACAAGAGCGCGATGGAAACCGCGTATCTGTCCCCACTGGATCTGGTCCTTTTCCTCCGGACCCAATGCCGACCGCTTTCTCGGCCTCCCCACCTCCTCCCCCCCATTCGCCCCTTCATTTCCCACTCGGTCATTACTCCCCGCGACCTCACGTCTCAGACGACCTTCCGCTTCCTTCCCCGCCCCCCCGCGCCAACCCCGTCTCGGCCTCCTCCCTCCCGTTCCCCCTCCCGTTCCCTCTCCCGTCCTTCCCCACCCCGCCCGGGGGCGCCCCGCCAACACCCGACGTGCACTAGACCACCACGCTGCGGGGGCTCTCCTGGGCGCGCTGGAGGCTCGGGGCGACCTGGACGGCCTGTCCTGGGACCCTGAGGCGATTCAGACAGCCCTGCGCATCCTGCAAGCCACCGCCCAACTCGACGGCTAGCTGTACGGCAGCCTCGCTGGCTTTTCGAGGGGGAGGGTCCGCGTTGGTCACCGTGGGCCTCGTTGTATTGGGGGGCCAAGAGCGCGCGTGGGGGAGAGAGGGAGGGAGAAGTGTATGGGGGGGATGAACGAATGGCGAGTGGGGCTGGTGTACGGCCTCCAGGTAGCTTCTCTGTGAGTTTTACTGGCTCGTCTTCATGTTGGTGTTCGTGAAGGGGCTCGCGCGGATCTTTCTCCTCGCAGTATTTGGTTGGGTCTGGGTCTGGTTTGGGCGTGTGCATGTGTTTGTGTGCATATGCTCATGTGGCCTGTGAAGCGGCGGTTTTCGGTTGGGTTTGCAGGAGTCTCTTGCTTTGGGTGTTGGGGCCGGGGGTGTGGGTTCGGGGGGAGAGAGGGGGGGAGAGTGAGTGACCCTTAAGCGGCTCTCACAGTGCTGGCAGCTGCGGCGATAGCGGCTGCGGCGGCGGCACAGCTCCGGCGGGGGGGGCATGAGTTTAGAGCAACTAACATAGTATTGCTGTCGAAGCTGCGGTCAATCTCTTTCTTGCAGCTCATAAATTGCCGTACCTCGCATGTTTCTGACATCCCTGCCAACGAGCCTGTATCGCCGCGTGTGTGCCTGTTCGCGTCGCCAGCATCATAGCCTTTAAATCCTCTGCCGGCTTTTTCAAATCTCCAATCACATCGTACATAGACTGCCGTTCAATACAACTCGATGTCGTCGTGTGTCGCAGCGTGTGTTGCCCAAGCGCACTTATCACTAACAGTTTCGACAGCATCCCTCCTGGCGTGCTTGCGCGCCCTCATTTGTTAACTTGCGCCAGAAACCCATCTGAGGCTGTTTCTCTGGGTCTTCACTCCACACTTGCTCCGGTTTGCATAGGACCTGTGGTCAAATAGTGACCGGGCAAAATCAGGAAAAAGAGCAGTGTGGGGCCCTGGCTTAACACAAGGGGTGTTCGTGTGTTGCGCATCCATGTACAGTGATCGGCATGTGTGTGCTTCTTTTTTGGACATGGCGGTGGTTGCTTGCAACAATTATCGACAATCAGTCTTCTTTAGCGTAAGGAAGGATATTGTTGTGTGGTTGTGTACGCATAAATGCATGGTATGGTACTGCATTTGGTACGGCAGCTGGTTGGACGCACACTCTGCTAGTCGGTGATTTGCCTTTGTGAGGTTGTTTGTGAGGCATCATGCCGGCTCTCGGCCCGCAACACTGCGCAGCAGTTCGCGCTGAGACTCTGCTGACGACTACTTCTTGCTTTTACCTGAACGAAGTATAGAAAACGCGCGCGCGCTCTCCCTCTGCGTTGAATGGGCCAGGCCCTTTCGCACCTGCCAACGGCTGCGTAAGCCGACTGCTTTCGCAGTGCTTCCTTGCAATGCACACACAAGTTTTTGTCTCTCTTTACCTCGATAGCAAGAGCTCTTGGATTCTATGCAGTTATTTTTGGGATTGGTTGGACCCTCCTGGTACGGACGGACTGGGCTGAATCGGTTGGGTTGTATTCGTCCAGGATGCGCGGGGACAAGGTCGCTGTCCTCGAGCCCACCTACCCCTCTTCCTTTAACCTTCGTGCGTCGTGATGTTTTCTCCCGCCAGCGTGCTAGTTTGTAGGATGCATCATGATACTGTACATATGAGCGGTATAAAGTAGTACAATAAGACCGTTGGACTTCATTCCGTAGAGCGAAACGAGGCAACGTGCGAGGCCGGTAGACCACCACACGGCAGTGTACCTGGTACGGAGGGGAGCCGTTGGCGGATCTCGCGGGTGGGCTGGCTAAGCTCCGGTGCATGGTTGAGTTTTCAGTTGGCGAGCTTCAGATGGGGCTTTGCGTTCCGCAACATAATCTGTCATCAGGCTTTGCTTTGGTGCGCGAGATGGATGGCCGCCGTTTGGCTGCCCGCAGGCGGGCGGATATTTGGATGGATGGATGGATTGGGTGAATGGATGGATGGATGGATGGATGGATGGATGGATGGACGGAGAGAACTTGAAAGTCGTTCGTGCAGCTAGAAAGGTTTTTCCATTTCGCACGAACGGGCAGGTTTGCAGGTACGGGGACTACATTACGTTCCCCCCACCACCTCATGTACGTATGTATGTAACTGAAAACAAGGATAACAAACCGCGCACGTGCTGGTGAACCCAAAGCACACATGTCCGCCCCGGTCCCCAACCTGTGCCTTCCACCGCCCACCGCTGCTGTCCTGCTCCGCCAGCTGCCGCCGACACGGTCACCAACACGGCACGGGCATGCACGTTGTGCACCGCAGCCGGGGCCACATACCAGCCAGGACCACTGCATGTTGTGGCGAGCTATTGGCTGCCCGCGTGCACATCCATTACCTACCGATCGACTCGTTCCCTCTCGGCCCCCCGGGGCTGATGTCGCTTCCCGCACACTCGACACACATTACCAGCCCACGACCATCCCAAGGGAAAAAGTTCTCACCCTTTCCCACCCCATTCCAGGCAGGGGGACGGAAAGCAAAGTGCAGCGAAGGGGAACCTCTCGCGTCCGCGGAGCAGTGAGTGCAGTGCCGCTCTCCGCCGCCTCATCCTTGATCCTCTCCTCCCCTTGATGCTCTTCTTTTGCGCCCCAGATTATCCCAGCTGTCACAGACTTGTTAATATACTTTACTGTCATGGTCTGGTCTGGTGACACCACTGCATGTGACACATATTATGAATCTGGTTCAATTCATAGGCCCCGGACGTTGATCGGGAGAATGAGGTTATGGCTGCATGCTGGGGTGTGGAGATGAGGTCTAGTTGATGGACTAAGTTTCGCATGCTGAGATGGTGGTGATGGCTGATCTGTCTCTACGAATGTCTGGTGACTGAATGAGGCAGGGGTTTCAGTTCGTGCGGCGGAATTAATTCACATATGGATGGTGCTATAAGGTGATAAATGGTCGTAGAACTGACAATGTGATAAAGCGGCCCAGAAGCCTCCCACTCTGTAATATTAAAAAAAATCCACATATATAGTTCATGGCCCCCGGATTTTGACGGGCACCCCCCTATTCGTGCGGAACTTGGAACTTGCGAAGTATCGAGCGGGTTCAAGGTTGCAGAGCGGCACATATTGCCCCGGAAACGAAGCGAAACCACTGAAGCATTACGTGACGCGGGTTAGATGCGGGCATTTGCGCACGGAGGCGCAGCCCCGCCCCGGCCCAGTGCGGGCTTTTACCGGCACTATAACCGAAGTGGAACTTGTTGTGTCGAAAATTTTCATCAATTTCGCATCTCCTTTGGCTTCTCATCCACGCGCCCCAAATTAGAGTTGCACCCATGTGCACATGCAAGCATTCATACTATTTCGGCTGCAGCTTGAAGCACAGTAGACTATACTCCTCCAGAGCTGTCCAGGGCATCATCCGTCCATCCATCCATCTCTGCGCTGCACCACACCAAACCATACCACACCAAACCATACCACACCAAACCATACCACACCAAACCATACCACACCAAACAGCATACTTCTTGCACACACGTAGAGACCAGACCAGGAGTGCATTGTCAGGTCGCTGCAAGAGCGCAACTAAGTAAACACCAAATCTGCTCTTCCGCAAAAGTTCTCGCATCGGGGCACACACACACACACATACACGAAATGGCAACACATACAAAACACAAACACATGCAATAAAAACACACGCACGCGCGCGCGCCAAAAAACACATGCTCTCGTTGCGTCTGCCTCAATTTAAGGCAACACACGTGCGCTGGGTTAGATGTCCTTCCCCAGGCATACTACTTTTCAGAATGTCGCTGCGAGACCAACCAACGCCACCAGGGAGCGATGCGCGGTGGCGGCGCTCCAGGCCCCGCTCCCTGGAGGTTCATACTCGAGCAGGTAGGTAGCATGGGCATGCAGCAGGCGCGACGGGCAGATAACACCGTGGCCATAGAAACGTCAGCCACCAGAATGATGGTCACACTGTGTGGACCGCATGTTCAGGGGAGGTCAAGCAAAGCACCCACGTGGGCAGGTTGCGAGCACAAGAGGCACTCAATTAAGTGGCAGAAAACGAAGGGAAACTTGTGAAGCCGTCAAGGCGAATACCGTCAAGGCGCCTGCACTGCCGTCCATCTCGAGCTGCTGCTACTGCTGCTGCTACTGCTGCCACCACTACCACTACCACCACCACCACCACCTCTATCAGCAAAACACACGAAACAACACTTAACAACAAACATAACGTAAGAACCTGCTTTGCTGTTGGTCGGGATCGACGCGCGATCTGTTTGTTAGTGGCCGCACAAAACACAAAATTTCATACCCGCCTTCGAGACTCGATCGAGAGTCCACTCGTTGCGCTCACGGGCCAAAAGTCCAATTTACACCACGCCATAACAAACCAAAACTTTTACATCACAAAGCCATCAAGGCAACTTAACAAACTTGGAGATACGCAGTACATCGCGCTCTGACGGGTGGAGAGGGCTCCGCAGGGGCCCGCAATCTGCCCCCATATATTGCCCTCACCCGTTGGATTACCCTCTCACCCCCACAAACAACTTACTGACGCCAAAACCAAAGCAAGTGCAGCTACTGACAATATGAGTTGAGCCAAAACAAACGCAAGACGGCGTTCCAAACGTTCATGGCAAACTCGCTCTAGGCGACGTTCCAAACCTGAAGCCTGAATCAACGGTGCGAAACAGCCAGGAGGGCGTTTTCCTCCAGGGGTGGCCCAAGGCCGCTGCCACTGCAGCACCTTTTTGACCGCGGACCAGGTTAACCTGCGGACAGACGAAATGCATTTACTTGAGGGGGAGTCTTCACTCCCCTTGCAGGGAGCCGCGAAAGCGCACGCATCGCGGGGCGCTCCCTCTAACCTGACGCTGCAACCAGGACCCATGCAAATACACGCACATGTGCACGCTCGCCGTATAGGGCCCTCCATCATACGCATACTTCCTCCCTCACTTTCCCATAGGCGATGCTCCGGCCAGGCGACCGCCCCGCCCCGCCCCGCCGGTCCCTCTGTCCGGGATTTTACCTTTCCTCCCTTTGCATCAACTATCTGCCCGCGCACCTGCCCAACGCAGGCCACCTCATCCACCCATGCCAAATCGCCACTTGCAATACACGGTGCCATGAGTAGCAACAGCTACCTTGCAGCGCATACCACGCCACTACTGTATATCCCCTCCACTGACGACCCTGCATGCTTATCCCTTCCCCAGCGAGACACACAGCTCCCCACTCGTCTGCGCACTATGCCTTGCACAGCAGACAGTGTATATATCGCCTCTTCACCGTCCCTACACTCCGTGCCGATGCGCACATACACGCACACGCACGCAAGAGCATCATCATCATCAAGATCGTCCGTCTCTGGCAAAGTAGAACCCCTTCCGGAAGGAAACGGGTGTTATCCATCACCTCCTATCCACGAGCTCCACGGGCCTTTAGCCCAAAAGTTGCTTTCTTCCGCAAACTGAAAACATGCCGCCGCCGCCGCCGTGGCCGCCGTAGCCCCATAAGGATGTCGTCCTCGAGGAGGACCCCTCCTGGAGACACGCAAGGTCCACACGCAACCTTGCACGTATGGCCTACAAACGTACGCCGCCGCGCGAGGATGGCAGTTGACTTTTAATCCCGCAACCCCAGGCGGCGCTCTCAATGCTTGAGTTGGAAGTAAAGGGAATCCGCTGGAAGGAAGAGTTCACAAAACCCTTAGAAGATATCCACCCCTGCCACGACCTATATCCATACAGGCGGCCTGACGACTGCGCCCTACACCGGCGTCGATACTCCCCCATGGAGGGCCCCCGTGCGGCAAAACCATTATGAGATGTACTCGACGAAAGCTTCACAACGCATGCAGGCATGTCCTCCGTTGCTGTTGCTGTTGTTTTCTTGGATTGTCTCCCACCGCACAGCGCACTTCCAAACCCACCCCCGCGGGAGGGAGCGGCCCACACCGCGCCGCGACCCTGCCGCTTGCCGCCCTTCCTTTCACCTTTGCTTCACCTCTTGCGTGCCGACACCAATATCCGTTCCATGAAACGCACCCCCACCCGACAGCACACGAGGTGTGGAAGGAGGGACGATACCAGGAATAACGCACGGGGTAAGGCCAAGAAGGAAGCAAAACACAAGCCTGACTGAAAGCAATCCTGCGTATGGTGGAAGGGAAAAAGCCCCTTAACGGCAACGATTCATCTCTCTCCTTCTTCGACACGCGCATTCTCTCCTCTATTTCTTCAGCGTCTGCTCGTATCGTACCACGACCTTGCGAAAACTCAATAATTCACCATGCCGCCCTCAGCTCACCATACCGTTGCCATCAGGTTGTTACCCGGTGCGACGATGGCGGTGGCGGTGGCGGTGGCGGTGGCGGTGCTACCGCCGCCGCCACTACCACCGTCCGCCGCAGCTGACCCGGCATCACATTGCACACTCGTGCGCGCGCCGTGGGCCGCCCATTGCACACTGGTCGAGCAGTTGCGACACTCGTAATGAGCCGCGTCTGTAACGACAATCGAGTAACCAACAACCAACAACGGAAGAGAACCAGCTGAGCAGAAGAAGATAGTCCGCCGATAAAACAGGCCACACCAGCGATTAGTAAGGAAACCGGAAAAGCGCGACCACAACAACACTGTAAGGGACCGAAAGCACACAGCGCCAAGTGTCAAATCACCATTCCGCTGCCGGGGTCCACAGCATGCTAACAGGCTCGAGTCGAATAGCGTGCATCGACCGCTGCCTGCCGCGCCGTACGACGCGCCGCTCTGTTGGCAAATCCCGGCAAACTCTTCCACCGGCAAAAGTCCACCGGACTCAGGAGGCCCCCCCCATCCATCCATCAGAAGCCCCATCAGAACAGAGGGAGCCACGAGCCGAGGAAGAGGACCTGCACCACCACGGCAAGGGAAAAACGTCCCCCCACCCCACCCCACGTTTTCCCATTTAGTGGAAGCCGAACCTGTGAGTAGAAAAAACTGTATACGACACTCGGCAAATCGTGTCTACCGCGCAACAAGAGCGGGGCCAGCGGACGAAAACCCAGGCGCGCGCCTTCCCGGCGCCGCTGAATAAAAAAATCCAGGCCGATACAGATCGTACTGGGGAAGGGGAAACCTGGCGAAGCACCGCACCCTGCGGGCCAGCATCGGACCGTTTGCAGGGTCCGGAATCGCGAGTTGGCGACAGGGCGCCCCCTTACCTTACCTTACCTCCGTCCCACCCCACACCGCCTCGCCTTCCCGCAGCCCCAACAGCTGCTGACCCAACCAACAAAACAGGCTCCTCATGGGTGGTCCTATGCGTCGCCGCAGGCGCCCCAAGGTTATGGGTGCACCCAGGTGGCAGCTGCAAAGGCACGTGGCAGAGCCCAGCTCGCCGCGACGCGACATACACACCGCATATCCCCACCATTTGCCGCATTCCCAGCGGCGGCGCCGCCTCCGCCAATGCCACCTTCCACAGCACGACCCAGGCCCAAACACTTGAAGAACCCACTTCACCCATCGCACCATCAGCACGTAGGCCAAAACAAGGGGGCCATTTCACGACCATGCATAGCCCAGCTAACACATCGGGCTGCAGCCTGAGCACCAGACTGGATTGCAGCAGCAATGCCCGTAGCCGTAGCCAGCACCGCTGTCCTCCACTCGACCAAGCACACAGCTGCCCACCCACCAAACGGTTGGGCTCACAACGCTAGGCGACTACCGAGCGAGAGGCTCACAACAGCTCCCCGCTCATCATCACCACGTCGTCTACGCCATCCGCTTCCTCAGTGCTCTCAACCATATCGAGGGTGCCGCCAATGGCGCCGCCGCCGCTACTGTTCCCCCCACCAGCCTCGCCGCTGGCAACTATGCCACCGCTGCCGCGCGCGGCGCCCAGCGCAAGGGCAGTGCTGCTGGACCTCCGGTGCCACTCCGATACCAGCGCCTGGGGTAATGCTGTTCCCAGGGATGATGCCAACGTCAGTTCGGTTCCCAGCGTGGCCGCCGTACCACATGACTCACATTCACCCTCGGAGCTCACTCCGCCACCGCCGTGAGCTGCACCGCGCGCGTGGAGCGCGGCGGCAGCAGCCACCGATACGGAAGCGGGTGCGTTTAACGCCGCAGGGGCGTCCTCTACCGCACCGCCGGGCGCGGCAGCAGAGGCGCTCGCAGTCGCCGCTGACCTTGCCGCTACTGCGGCGGCAGCAGCACCGTGTGCAGCCGCGCCGCCGACGAGACGCAGGGCCCGCATCGCCTCGGCCACTGCCAGGTCAGTCTCCTGCTGCACGGCCATTTGCTGCAGCAGCGGCTCTACCTGCGGGTGCGCCCTTGCCAACTTGTGTAGCGACTCAATGCTCGCAACGAACGCCGTTACCTGCGTGCGCGCGCACACATTGGCAGACCACACGGGCTGACGCGCACAACTCCCAGCGCCGCCACTACTTTCAGCAGCAGCTCTGTCTCTCTCGCCGAACGATGACGACGCTGCGCCGCCAGCGCCAGCGCCAGCGCCACTGCCGCCAGCCGGCAACATCCCTGCAAAGCCTAGACTGTCCCCTGGGCCCTTTACCGCCACAATCAGGTGACCCGTCTGGGTGCCCGCACGGGAGAAGAGACCGAGGCTGCTGTTGCTGGGCTCCCGCCCGCCGGAGCCTTTGCTGCCGCCGCCACCACCGCCACTTAGACCCGTCAGCGTCGTACGGGACGAGTTGGCACCCCTAGCCGGCAGGCCTCCCACATAGATCCCGGTACTTGTGGCGCAGGGGGATGCCATCTGCTGCGCCGCGGCCGGCATGCAGCTGCCGGTGCTCGCCGGTGCCGAGGGACCGGGTCCGAAGGCGGCAGCCAGCGCGGCCGCCGCATGAGAGGCGCCGTGGTTGCTCCGATCTCCGCCCGACGTCATGTTGAGTAGGCCGGTGGAGAGGCGCTCCAGCTGCGGCACCGTGATGCCAGGTAGTCGGATGTTGAGGAAGTCCCCTGGGTCATCCAACTCGGACTCCGGATCGCTCAGACCTACAGCGCGGACAAGGCAGACCGGAAATATAGGGCCCAAAGTATGGGTCGGTAGCTGGTCGGTAAGAAACGGACATCGCAGGACCGCAAACAGTTAGGGGCGTGGGGGCGTCGCGTTCAATGGATTGCGCAAGTCACGGAAACGTGCACCGCGTGGAGCCGATGCGCGATGTACCAAATACATACATACATACATACATACATACATACATACATACACATCTTTTCGGGACACCCCCCCAAAGGCCTGGCTCTGCCTATAGCCGGGCCTCGTGTTGGAGCTCACCCTCGATGATCGGCTTGTGTGGACACGGCGCGTCCGGGCCATCCAGCACCAGGTCATGGTAGATCTCTACCTCGCCAGCGGTGATGAGGTAGATGCGGTCCAAGGGGTCGCCCGCGCGAATAATTTGATGCCTGCAGACAGAGACAGAGACAGAGGCACACAGTGAGGGAGAGGGTGGCAGTATGCCTTCACCTTGCTGACTGGCACTAAGACCAGACGCGGAGACGGAGGAACAGGTTGAGGGCCCATGTTGTCGCCCTGTGCCGCCGCCGCCGCTTCCCCCCAGCTGCGCCGCATGTTGTGTTGCGCTGTGCTTGACGCTGTCTGCTATTCCCTTAGAAGTGAATCCGTCAGTCAAAACGCTGCGTATCCGTGAAGCGTAACCAAGCCACGAGTGCATAATTATTTGACAAACCCAACCCGATACCCCGCAAGCTGGATACGCGAAGAAGGAAAGCTCCTTTGCTAGGCTAGACTTACTTGGCGGGAAAGGTGACCTCGGAAAAGATGCTTTCCATCAGCACCGCTGCGCTGCCGGTGGGGTCGTAACAGCTGCTGATGGCCGCTTGCAGCTCCGCATCCGTCACACCGCGTCGCAGCTCCCACGCCTCGCTGCTGTTGCGCCGGCCGCCGGTGCTGCCGCCGCCGACCAGGGCTGCCGCTGCCGCCGTAGCCGTCACGCTATGTCCCAGCGAGCCCGTATTCCCGGTGCTGCCGCCCTCCGCAATGCGCGGCATCGTGCACCCAGGGAAAAGCGCTGTCGCCGCCGCCGGATTGCACGGCGGGTGCGAAGAGGTGGACATGCCGGTCAGCGACCGCGCCGGAGATGGCGCCGCCGATGCCGCCGACACCGTTGTTGTTGGCGCTGACATACGCCAGGGACCGTCCGCCACCGCCATCGACGGCGGCAGGGCCGGAGGAGCAGAGGCGACGGCAGCGGTCCAGGGCTCAACCGGGACATCACGTACGGCTGCTGTTGCTGTTGCTGTTGCCGCCGCCGTCGCCGCTGCTGCTGCCCCCGGGACCCTCCCGCGGCGGACGGGGTCGAGGAGCAGGTCCGCGGCGGCAGCGGCAGCGTCCGCCGCTGTCGTCAATAGGTTCGCGGAGCTGCTGCTACAGCTCAACAACTGAGGAGTTGAGACGGCCATTCCCGTCCCGGTCCCTGCCGCCGTTGATGGCTGCGTGTGCTGCTGCTGCTGCTGTTGTAGCATCAGAGAGGAGTTAACAGCGGCCAACCGGATCGCCACCTCGCGGCCCTCACCATTGCTGCCACCTGCGCCGCCGCTGCCAGCGGCCGCCGCACCCACGAACTGCCGGCAATTCGCTTGCAAGGGCCCTCTGAGAGCTGGTGTACCGACTCCGCTTTCTGCTGCCGGTGCTGCCGTGGTGGCAGCGGCATTTGCCGCCACTGCCATCTGGACCCGGGTTGCCATAACGAGGGGCGAGGGGGTGCGGATGGGGGCCAATCCTTGCGCAGTCGTCCAAGGGTGTAAGACCGCCTCGTGGACGGTCATGCGGGTGAGGGGGTCCTTATCCAGCAGCCTGCAGGCAGGGGACAAAGAAATATACACGAGGAAATCCCAAACCGCAATAGCATTTGAAATTGTAGTATCAAGACGCGGGAAGTTCTCAACCACAACGTCCAGGGTCGGGGCCTCTCACCCCAACGATAAGGGATAAGGGGTAAGTTCCAGGCTCTACTCACAACAGGGCCTTAGGTCTAGGATTCCGTTTCGGGCCGCAAGGGGAATTGTGGACGGCGTTGCTGCTGCTGCAGCTGCTGTTGAGCAGTTGCCGTAGTGGGATTTGCACTCCCCCATCACCGTCCATACCCTCCCTGCTCCCTTCTCTCTCCACCACTCCCCCCACACGCACACCCAACCACACCCGCACCTGGTCATCAGGTCATTCAGCTGCGAGGAGATGCGCGTGTGTGTGGGTATCACCAGGGGGGCACTGCGGATGTTCTCGTACACCACAAATGGCGCCGAGCCCTTGAAGGGCAGCTCCCCAAACGCCCAAAGGTAGAGACACACTCCGAGCGCCCACATGTCCAGCTGTCAGACCGAGAGAAAAGGCCACAGAGCGGGAGCACAGGGAAAGGGAGGGAAGGGGAGGCACGAGTGTAGGACTACAATTCCAGCATGCGGGCCTAAACCAACATCAACAGCATCAACAGGACGGGTTGAATTGGAATTGGAAGTAACAGTGGATTATGGATGGCCTGGTAAAACCTCCAAACGCGACCGGCAGTCGGGCTCGAAGACCAGGGGCGGCAGCACCAGGAGTGCAGCAGCAGGAGTCAAAAGAGCTAAGCTGTCCGCGTAGCCTCCCGGAAGCGTAGCCATCACACAATCGACTCATCCCACTGCCCACTGCCTGTGTCTTCCTCTGAACGCACAAACAGCGCACAAACAGCAAACGGTACCTAAAGCTCCGCCCTTCACACTCACATACCCTCCTCCCTGCCGGATTCCTCCTCTTTCCTTTCCCCCCATACGCAACTTCTGGTTGCCGACATTGCCTCACCTCCCATCAGGTGGTTCCAAAAGACTACCCCGTACTCCACTTACCGCGATTAAGGCTCCCGGGCCATCGCCTCACCCTTGCCAGCCATTCCACCCCACCCCACCCCACCCGACCCACGCATGCGCACCTCAAAGCTAGGCCTGTATCCTGCCGCCAAGCTCTCCGGTGACCTGAATCCCGGGGTGCAGCTCATGGGCACGTGCGCACCACGCAGCCCGTCCTCTCCACCCACACGGCCATGCAGCACCGCAGAGCCAAAGTCCAAAATGCGGACCACACCCGTCAGGGAGTCCTGATAGGCAGGGACGTGGGGGCGTTGCGGCGGGACGGCGAGGACAGGCACGGGCACAAGGGGGGAAGTGAAGGCACACGAGAATGTTAACCAGCCGCGGCGGGAGGCAGGAAGGCAGCAAGGGTTGTCACCCGCAAGTATACGCAACGCGCCAATTGTGGATAGTAGCTAATCATCGGAGATAGTGTTGAGTATTACAATATGCGCAACAAAGTCAGCTGTGGGGTTCGTTAGTAGCCGCCAGCAGCGGTGGATAGGTACACTGCAGGGCCAAACACCATCCCACCTTACAAATCCCACACCGATAAATGACAATGCAATCCTGCACCTTCCTGCCGACCACTTCCGCTGACATCCACACCAATCCACACCAACCTGTATGAAATTGGCGGGCTTGAGGTCTCCGTGCACGACTCCGTGGCAATGCAGGTACTCCAGGCCGCACAGCACATCGCGCGCGTAGCGCCACACCATTTCCTCCGGCACCTGCCGCCACCGCCCCGGCTGTAGCTGCTGCGGCTGCAGGGTGGAGCCCTCCACGTAACCCATCACCAGCAGCAGGCAGTCCGAAGCGGGGTCATCAATCACCTCCACCAGTTGCACGATATTGGGGTGAGACAGCCGCTTCAGAATGGCAATCTCGCGGACGAAATCCTCCGCGGGGTATGGACCAGAAGCGTGGGCGGGGCCGCCCAGGCAGCGACGCAGCGGCGGCGGTGAGGGTGAGGAGGTGGGCGGCGAGCTGCCGTGACAGGAGGACGCGGCTGCCGTCGCTGGACGAGGGAGGAAAGAGCAAGGGCATGGGACGAGGAGGGGTGTTAGGACAGGCGTCGCCGAAAGCAGTATGACTCTGGGCATGTTTGAAGACTACACCGCTTCCTCCGCCTGCCATCCCCATATCCCCATACAACGCAGGCCCCTTCCTATCGCCCCCCTGGCCAGCCCGCAACCTCATAGCGCACCACAAGTCATAGCCCCAGCCAACCCAACCTGGACCTGGCCCTCACTGCTGGGCCCACGCAACATACATACTGCCACATACGCCCTCGAGACGCCGCATCCCTCCCGCCACCACAACGCGCCAGCTGCTTACACGACCCGAGCCCGGAGCTGGCACTCCTGCGCAGCAGAAAGGACGAGGGCGTAATCGACCGCCAGACCCTGCCGCTGCCACCACCACCACCGGACGTGCCGGCGGGTCCCGAAGCCAGCATTCCAACGCTTCGGCTGGCGCTGAGGCCGCCAGCACCGCCGCCGCTAAGGCTTCTGTGGCCGCTGCGCCCGTCCTGGCTGCGGGCGTCGCGCGCGCTCAGCAACCCGTGGCCCCCTCCACCGCTGCCTCCGCCGCTGCCCTTGCGGACCGCCTTGATAGCGACCAACTTCTTACTTCGAAGATTGAATGCGAGTTTGACCTGACCGCTGGACCCCGAGCCCAAGTGCTTGATGACGATGTAGGTGCGATTGATAAGAAGGGTGATGCCCGCCTGGGGAAAGGAAAGGTGATTTCAAGGTGGTGCTGGAATGGGTGCTAAGTGAGGGGAAGTAACCGCACGCTCTGGGGCTTGGCGCTACCCGCCTTTTCCCCATATGGCCAAACAGCGCCATGCAGTCCCCGGCCCACATGCACGATATTAGTTGACGCCCTCAACTTGCTTAGCTATCCGCAGGGGGCAGTGCAATGTTGGTACCGATGGAAGCACCAGGAAACAGCCAGGTTGGGGAGAGGGGACGTATGCAGACCCCAGGGAGTAAGGAGAGCGGATCGTTGCCTTGAAGGGTATATGGTGCCGCACCTTGCACACGGACAGCCGATCGGTGGTGGTGACGTTGAAGGCTGCGCAAATGTCGATGGAAGTCCTGCGGAAGCGACGGATTTGCATTGGCCAGGGTGAAAGTGGCCAGGGTGTTTGGAAGAGAGCGATGAACCCAGCAAAGAAGAGCACAGAAACAGGGTTTGGGGAAGGAGATCATGGGGGGACAGCAAAAAATAGGGACTGTGACCCGCGAAGCTGCATGCGTGCATATATATTTAACGCGGCTGACTCCAGAGCGTTTAGTGTGAAGGTTGCTGGCAGCGGTGCCGCAATTCAGGCCCAAAATGCAGACAGGACACCGATTCACGTCTTAGTGAGGATAGAGCTGCAGCAGATTTTCAAAGGAGGCTGGTAGCACAGCGTGTGGGCGCCAGACGCCATGCCTCTTGTTTCAAGGTCCTTGCAACCAGGCCCTAGGCCCCCTTGTCCCCTGGGTCCCTGTGCCGAATCACCGACCCATGTGCCTCACCTGCTCTTGCGAGCTTCATGCCATTGCTCAATGGAGGTGCGCTCTTTGCGCTCATGCTGCATAGACCTCCGCTTAGTGTGCTTATGTGGACTTCCGCCCTCATCGATCGCGCCCGTCTGGGCTCCGCCTTCCAAGGCGCGCTTACGTGCAGCCTTGAGGAACTTCAACCTACGTAGGCCGGGTGCGACTCGCATTAGCCCACGCACTACTCGACGCAAAGATGCGTTGCAGGAAAGCGTGCTTGGCTAGAGTCACAAATAATATGCAATGTTGCAAAAATATTAAGATTTGAACTGCGTCAGACGGAGATGAGAAACCCATGTGGACAGACCGCACTCGTCTCTATATAGTGCTCAAAGACAACGCTTCTTTTACATCACCATCGCTCCGCAACCTGGGTGAGTGGAAGCATCTTTCTCATGATCATTCCTTACCACTTCATTGCGCCAAAGGGATGGCTTGTCCTTTATCGCTGAAGCTTCATGGTGTAGCGCCTAGCCGTCCCACCATTACAACGGAGGATGTGCAGTCCCCGTACGTGTGAAAAAATATCAAGACCTCGTACTCATACTAAAAGTAGAAGCGTGCTTCCAAAACGCACAGCGAATCGTCGTAGGCGTGCCACAGTGTGCGCAAGTTGACTCTGTGCTTGAAGAAAACAAACGCATACTTATCATAACATTCTAATATTTGCACAGGCTATGCGACGCGTTCTTGAAAAATTTCCTCGTAGAATATGGTAGATACGTGCAGAGTATCTTCATGAGCATGACGTCAAGTTGTCGCCTTGGAAAGCGTTGCTTCAAGAAACTAATCGTGCATTTCTAACATGTTCACTTACACACAAATCACACCAATCCTCAAGACCCCGTACACAGGATTCTCCAGTCACTCTTTTTAGCTAGTTGATAGCGTCTGTAGGGTTGTTCAACTGCATATTATGAAGGGTATTACACTACTTCTTCAAATGACAGGTTGGCATGCCTGATGTTTAGCTTGTCGTGTACTAGTACACGGATGCGGGGAGAGATATCGTTCCCCTGCTGGATAAGTGTCAAATCCAAGTATTATAGAAAGGGGACATGTGAATGATTTAGGGGCTGTTTTACCTTCGTCGATCAGCACTGGGGTTCAGGCTTGCAAACGATGCAAAGTAGGTAGGATATAGGATAACTGCTACAGACGCGGTACTTCGCCACTGAAGTCACATGGGACTGCTGCTATGACGTTGTAGGCGAAGCTGCTGACCGGCAGTCTTATCGCGGTTGGATTTACGGGTGTTATTGGAGCGTGGGGTCCGGCACGGCTCAACAAACGCGACAACACGTGTAGCGAGCTTTTTTCCGTCCATCTTACGTTCCTCCGCGCTCTCGTGCGTTCACCGCGGTGTCAGTCATGGCGCAAAAGCCAACAACAGCTGTTGTGGCCCCTACCTCTCCCATTGGCCCACATGGTCAGCCTTCAACCGTCACTTATGCTGAAATTTCGTAAGCTTACGAAGAACCCACAACAGTCGCCAGGGGCCGGACCAAATAATGATATCCCTATCCATGCCCAACATACCACCCATCACTGCATCACTGCCACCAGTTCCAGGACCAACGCCTGGTCCTGCGTCGGCTTCACCTCCGATGCCGCACCCGCATACCCCAGTGATCTTCCGAAATGACTGTTACGACTTGCGGGTGAAACCATAATCTCTCAAATCAACCTATGCTTCCGCTGTAACGATAAGTGAGAAGCAAGCAGGGAGGACGTGTGTGTTTGGACACGTCAGAGTGCGACATGTCAGTGACCGGGTTACATCAAAGCGCGCAATCCTGCATCAACGGCACGACACTGTACGACAGACATGAAGATCACTGCAAGCATTAAATAAACGACCCAGAGAACTGACACCGAAACGCCGTACACTTACACGAGGTGTCTCCTCTCTACAGTGTTTGGCACTCTGCTTATCCTGTCCTGATACGATGATCCGTGGGATTGGGGAAATTGCACAGATTGGTTTGGCCGGAGGCTGGCAGCATTAGTCTTCAGTTTTCTGGGGCCTTTGGACTGATCTTTGATCTTTTGCTGCGCTGCTTCTGCTGCTGCTTCCATCCTCCGGCCAAACCAATTTGTACAATTGCCCCAATCTCACGGATCCTCGTAATGAAAACAACACGACACGGAGACTCGTGACGGAGTGCTAAACACTGTACGGCATACGGAACAGTACAGCATCGCACCGCAGCGACCTCTGAACGCCTTACCCAGCTTGGTAATCTACCTGTCGTGCGCACACCCTACGTGGCCCCCCACATGGGGATGTGCTCCAGCAAGATACAGCACCAAGACCGACGCCACCGCATCCCCCTGCAAACACGAGAAGATGTGCGATGCCGATAAACCTGGGCAGCACGTAACCGTTCCGGGTAGAACAGCTACAACTCTTTGCCGATCTGCCGCGAGCCCGAAAACACCCCTCGGCCAACACCTTACTTGTACGGCAATAAATCCAACGTACAAGCATCACGACGAGGGTGTCGTTTTCAAATGCCTCCGCGGAGAGACCCCCTCATTTGAGGGTGGGTAAGGGTGCTGTTCGGTTGCCTGCGCGAGAGCTTGGCTTTTTAGGTCTTGATATCAGGATCCGATTCATGCATCAAACTCCGAGCGAAGCATACTAGTACCGGTGCAACAGTGTGCAGCCTGGTGCAGTACCTGGCCCAAGCCGCACTCAGCCCAATGAAACAACACACCACGGCCCCAAGCCTCCTGAGAACACATGAAAAACCTCCTGTGCAAGGGCAACGCAGTCGCCCAAGTCACAACTCGAAGCTGTGCGAACCATGATATTTAGCATGTCCAGCGAAGCCTGTCCTGGCTAGTTGAGGTTGTAAAAACGTGGAACCCTTTGTTCATACATACTCAAACATACATACTCAAACTTGTATGCTCATTCTGGTACAGGTTCGGCCATTTAGATTAGCATACCGTAACCCAAGCAAAAATGGGTTGAACCTTGCGGAGAGACTTGCTGAGTCGCCCTTGCTTGGTAATGCAGTTCAACGAGAAGCTTTCTATTTCGACATCATTGAGCTTATTTTCTGCATATGTAGACAGCCCAAACAGCCCAGGAAGCCCGTCCATAAAGCGAGCAGCACTTGCGGCATGAATGCCGCGTGCACGATTCCACAAAGAATATACCACTTAAAAAACAACAAAGGATTTGCAAAGGATTCCCACATCATCTCAGTAGTGATCAGTAATGAAGGGCGTGCACCGCAGGGTAACGCAACGGATCCATAGCATGCACGGCACAGCAAAAATTGGCTGTTGGGTGGATGCTACGAGAAGGAACCATAATACAGCTCATGTAAACTATATTTCTTCTATTATTCGTGACGAAGTAAGACGGTTTATCCAAGTTGGGTCAGGTAACAAGGCAGGCATCAGGTGACTAGGCAGGCATCGCACGGCTCCTTAGGGTTCATCAAGTCACCTGACAAGATGTACAAGACGCAGGTGAAGGGACTTGCTTGTTGGGGAAGCTTTGGGAATGAAACTTGAATGAAATCGTCTCCTTGGCGACGTTCATCCTGAAGCGCTTAAAGGATTCCCGTTTCGTGGTAATACTATTTTCAAACATGGCATGGCTGAAATTTCTGTAATGCAATACTAAGGGCATGCTGCAAGCTCTGCCTTGACATGGCAAGGCAATGTTCCTTGTTGCACAAAGGAACTGTTGGGTTTGATCCTCATGCTGCTCCCGATTCACACACATGCAGGAATCTCGTGCGAACGTGGGATTCCGGACGGCCCGCGCGATGGAGTGCCCTCGGCCCGGGGCGATTTTTCTCAGCCCGCGGGCACCGGGGCTGCCGTCGAGTTTTGGCTTGGTACTAAAGGAGAACTATCGTTACCAGCACGAGGACTCTCCTGGTTCCATTTCTGGCCATGATGATGAATTGCTCGCGACGCAGCGCACTAAACGAAACGGAACGGTGGGGATGAATACTGTAAGCGCGACTGTCGCGCATCCGGACCCTCTTCTACCATTAATTGCGATTTCCCCGCAGATTAACACGGCTACAGTGCTGACATTTAAGGGACAAACGTCAGCGGTCAACGGGTGCGTGAACGCACGCCACTGGGTTGGCATGACGACACGAAGACCTTAGAATACCGGTACCGGTAGATGCCCTTAGCTACTTGGGCGGGGACACTTTTACCATTAGGTACCGTTTTTATTCTCTGAGATTGCGCAGTGCAGGAGAACTCCCCCATCTATATGTATCATTTTACAATCCGCGATAGGCCCAGGTCAGACGAATCCGCGATGTGTTGCTGCATGATCCGCTGTCTTTAAGCGCTTTTCATTGCACCAATAATTTGTTGCAGGGTCCCCGCAAGCCCGAGGCAGGCAAGCTTGCCCCGACAACAGTACAAGGAGGACCGAAGTAGACAGAGGGCCGTAATGGCGCGCAATAAGCGCATTGCAGCCTTGAAAGCTGCCGACAGGCAGCATGGAAAGTGGCACTGCACGGGAGGATTCCCGAGCACGGGGCTTCCCCCGCCGTCGGTGACGACCCGGGCGCTGACAACTGCAAAGTCGCCCTTATTTCAAACCGAGGTGTGAAAGCTCATTAGCAACGGCATCTGCCCTCCCTACGTCAGGTTGCAGGCCTGGCCATGCACAAGATCGCTTCCCGTGGAACGTAATAAATCCCGCCGCAATCCAGCCATGACAACACTTTGCAGTGAAGCGACGCACTGTTCATCGAGGGGATACAACGATTAATGCTGCACGTCAGGCCAGGATGATAGAATGTTACATATGGCTCGCCTTGCGGCCGTTTGCTGGCCTGCACGGTGTTTGGATATGTGCAGCACCAGTGATTCAGTCAGATTGATTGTTATGCCAAATTAAACGGGTATATGTGTTTATGTTTAAATGGACTCTTTGAACACTACATGCTCTGATCTTGCCCGTGAAACTCGGCCACCTATCTAATCTTCAGGAGCGAATGGTGCGCCGCCACCAGGAGCGGGTTGAGCAACGTGACGCAGGCGCGACGGCCGTGGGCTCGCCAATTGTGTACCAGGTAGATTGTGCAACTGCCGTGTGTGGTTCGTCTTTTGCATCATCACGGGCTGGAGGATTCGGATTGCCTAGCAACCACCATGGTCCATGTACCTTGCCAAGCCTAGTGCTGCTGGGGATGCTGGCATCGCCAGCCGAAACGGTGGATGACGCAAAATCCCTGCCAATATGTAGCAGGGGCGCCCCGTGCTTCAGCAGACGAACCGGGCGGAGCCAAGTGGCTGGCAGTTGCCGCTTACGGTGCCCGTGGACGTCAGGCTACGCTCGGAGGCGCGCGCAGACAGGCACTTGCAGTTCAAGAAGGCGGCGAAGGTGGGCGAAAAGAGGATCCGGTGCCGTCGCAGAAGCTGCTATGTTTGTGGGAATCCCGGTTAGCTGTTAATTGTAGCGTTATTTCAGCTGGTGTCTGCTTTCGGTTTGTACTCTCAATTCCGACCTTGTCCACAGGCCCGTTTGGAGGCTGCGGTGGCAGCCAAGGAGGCTCGCGAGGCGGAGGCAACACGCTTATACCGCCAGACGCTGACGGTGTTCAAGGCGCGACCCATGCCCGACTTTTGGGGCGACGGAGGGGAGGGCAAGAAGCAGGGCAAGGCCAGGGCTGGCAAGAGGCCCACCCAGAATGTGTCGTCATCGCCAGCGCACAAGCGTAGCCGTGCGCACTGAAGCCGATAAAAGAAAGAACAGACCAAGCACGCCGCCCAACTGGCGGAGCGAGGCCGCCGATCTGGCCTGGATGACGAGCTGGATGACCGCTGCTGGAGACCAAGTACACGACAGACCTCGATACCAAAGTTATCCAAGGATGTCTGGGTTGGGATATGGTTAAATGCTGATCACAACTATTTATTTTTCATGCATCCGATGTGATACATTTTTAAGGGAAAGCATGCAGGTAGGGTTTGGGGTGTGGGACCTCAAGCATTTCACCACCACACCACTGGAGCGAAGTGGTGCGCTCGTGTGCTGTGTACAAGGATGTACTGTCTAAGTCCCCTGCATGAGGGCTTAAAGGCGCCCACGTCGGGCACACAATCGGCATATTATCCACCTGTTACATCACTTTTACGCAAAAATGTTTAGACCGTCCTTTGGTTGCATTAAACAAATGTTCCCTTCAGATACAAGCTCAGGTAATGGCAGGCCGTAATTTTTATACTTAAGGGCTATTTTTACGGCAGTAATTCAGTTTTTCTAGATAGAGGGATACCCGTTTTTTCGCTAATGTCTGCGGAACATGGGGTCTTCGCGCGTACGGCCGCCCCCTATCATACTTCCTAACCCGTGCCAAAGGGGAATCCTTATGGACTGTGGGCTGTGGCGGGATAGCTGATTGCACGTGGCGGCCAGCAGACCCGGTCTCGACAAATTGACTCTGCGAAACGTGTACTACACCGATTTATCGATGTTCTGAGGTATCGATGTTGCGTCCTCATGCAGGTTATATATATGTATTGATTGTACGCATAGGCGAATGACCTTACATCTCTCCTGTAGGAAGCCATATCCTATAAGCAAACCTTATGCACACGACAGCATGCGGGTGTAGCTTAAAATCACGCCCCACTGATAGTCGACCGCATTCGCTATGTAATCGGACTGTAACCAAGCATAAACATGGCAACCTCTTGATGACGGACTGGTTCCCTCACGTGGCCTGGCGATTCATAACAAAACCATTTGGAGATACTTTACATCCAGCAGCCATCCCAACGCCTGCTGCAGGGGCCTGAGGAGCAGCCGAGCCGTATACAATTGTACATCGTGTCGCGGGTGTGCAAAAACCCCAATGTGGGTAGGCAGGAAAGTTGCGCCGCTGCTCATTACAACCAAGGACTATCCAACGATTTTCCGGTGATTATAGCCCTCGTGATGCGGGTCCAGGTCAGAGAGCCATGACTGAGACGGCCATCTTTCGTGACAGGCGCAGGCGCCAAAACAACACACGACCATCGCCACGAAGACCTAAAGCCGTCACAATGCCCCAAAGAATGGATTTGTGAGGGCCTCGTCCAGCGCCCCGCCGGCGCCTCTCAAAAGCTCCACGTTAAGCTTCTCCGGTAGCATCACCAGCGCATCATCCTTTTTCTGGACACGGGCGTCATCATACATGCCACTTACCGTGCCGCTCAACGACATCGCTTAGGATGCAAACCCAAAATTAGTACCGTTGGTATGGTTTGTACTCGTGTATGGCGCCAGGAGTGTCAAGTGTCAGAGCCAGGTCAAGGAGGTCAAGAGAGCTTTGCAGTTAATTTTTGACACAAGCCAATCATGGTTGCGTGCGTTGCATACTGCTAGCAGTTGCTGTTGTTGCCGCTGCGGCGTCGAGCCAATGCCAAAAAGGGGCGGCAGTCCCATCGCAATGTCGCGTTTGGGGCTTTGACTGCACGTGTTCACCTGCGGATGTGCGTTCCCCCCTTAGTACATGAGCGGCCCCAACCCTCTCCCCGCTTGGCAAGCCTGCATCATATTCCCTGCTGCGGAAACAGAGCACGCTAAGCCTAGCCAAGCAACTCCCCCCATCAAGCCCACCTCGAAGCCGCACGTGACGAGGAAGTCAACGGCGCCGGGCAGAGAAGCCACACGTTGTTGGAATGCGGCATTGCCCAGACGGATGGTCCGGAACTTCTCCTCCCCGGGACTGGCAGCGATGTTGCCGAGGTACCTTTGGCAGGGAGCGATAGCATAGGCCTTACACCACGGAGCCCGGCCATGTGAATGCCCCCCCTGGCGGTTTACCTGCGAGCCTACTATTTGGATGTGACCCCAGACTGGCCGTAAAAAGTTACTACCGTGTATCGACCATGCAACGAGCGTGGCGCAAACGGGGACAAGAAGGATAAGTTTGGACTTAGTCGGTCCACCGCCCTGCCTGCATCTGTCTGTCTGGACGTCTGCCAGTATAACATGTCCACCCCACCTTCGTCACTAGAGAGGTGAGCCTGTATAGGGTCCTCGCATCTAGGTCTACCAGGTTCAGCCGTACTTCTCTACATCCTACTCACAAGCTCTCCCTTCCTTGCCTTACCGCATCATGGTCTCACAGGCGGTCTTGAACGCCGCCTCGCCACTGCCCCCTGCTGCGCCCGCCGCATGCGCCTTCTTGAGATCCACCAACTGGGTGCGCATCTTGGACAACGCTGCGGACGGAGATGGGCGCGAGCTGCAGGATGGGTCCAAAAGAGCGGTAAGCGCGCCTATCTATCACACCCGGTCGCGCACCAACCTGAGACGGGCTTCACGTAACTGAAGGCCTTCTTGGCCGCCTCCTCCTCCTCCTGCTTCTTGCGCTTCTCAGCCTCGCGTGCCTGCAGCAGCAGCAGCAGCAGCAGCAGCGGCAGCGGCGGCGAAGCCAAGCACGCCGGGAGGGCCCAATGCAAGGAGTCAGCCATACTCACAGACTTCTTGAAGGCTCCCTGCCTCTTATGCGGTAGCAAAAGCCCCCTCCAACCTCCACGCTACTCCGCCAGCCCGGACTCTCCTCACAACACCTCGCAACCGCGTCCCACCTTCCATCTGGGTCTATCTGGGGCCCGATGACCATCCCGCCCGCCTGCCAAATATACATCGCCCATTACAGACACCACGCTATAAGCCCCTGCAACCCACACACCTTCTCCTCTTCAGTGAGCTCCTCGGGTAGCCCCAGCCGCCGCCGCCGCTCCTTGCGGTCCTCCTCTAGCTTTTTCCGCAGCTCCTCACGCGCCCGGGCCTCTTCCTCCTTCTCACGCTTGCGTTGCTGCGTAAACAGCCAAGGAGAGCGGCAGACGCTGTGGGCGTGAGCCGGCAGTATAGGGCCCTGCCAATAGCACAACAACGTGCTGAGGGCACACGGGGGTTGCTCTGGGGCCGTGTTGAGGGGCTCCCGTATGGAAGGACCTGGACCCGGGTGCGGGGTGAGGGAGTTGGGGCACAGACAAAAACGCATGCACCACACAGCAAGACCAAAGCAAACCCAGATGTGGACCGCACCCCCACGGAGCGTGCGCCTGTTCAGTGCCGGATAAGCCAGACGCATCAGCGCTACCAGCGGCATCCAAACAAAGAATGGGTGCAGTGCGGCAAGGCTGGAGCGCACGCCGCCTCACACGCTAACAGATCATACGGCACAGCCACAGCAGCAACTCCATCGTCTCTATCGCCCCCAGTAAACATTCTTTCCGGCGTGGGCTTGCAGTCCCGATGCTTCGTAGCTCCTCCTCCACCCACCCTAGGCACTGGCCCCACTGACGCACCTACCTCTGCTATGCGCTTTAACGCCAGCTCCTCATCCTTCTCACGCATCTGCATGGCGGAGGGAGCGAGAGCAGGGAACGGTTACAGCGAGCAGAGCGAAGGAGCAAGGATGCAAGGATACTTCAAAGAAACGCCGCGAGAGTCCTGGTGACTGAGTATGTTCCCACGGAGAGCAAGCTCGGACAGACAAGGATCATAAAATCTGTAGAGACAGGTTGAATCTGCAGCGATGCCGCCGAAAAAAGACGGACTTCTCATTATTGGGAGGGGAGGATTCCCTTGTGGCGTCGGGTTGCGGAAACTTCATAATGGGTTCCATACCGCCTTCTAACTTCTGCATCCCTGTGGGCGGGTAAGCCAGGGCGCCATTCCTCACGCCTCTGCTCTGCGATTGCCGCCAAGATAAGACGATAGGCCGTTCATGCCGGATGCGAGCCATTGGAAGTCCCATTTTGAAGCTGCCGCGGCGCGGCTAACTTGCTGCTTTGCTGGCAATGCGTTTGCTTTCGTGTTTGTCGCTGCTGCTGCTGCTACAGTTGAGCAGCAGTTGAGCATAATCGTTCATTATGCTGATGACTCTCAGGAGCTAGAGCCGCTATAGAGCCCTAGGCAATGAGACGCCGTGGTCAGCGGTCAGGACGGCAGGCTGCCCCCCTAAAAACGCCACAGTGCCCCAGCCCCTTACGCCTCACACCTTTTGCATCTCCTTGCCTGCCCGGATGCGTTCGAGCTCTCGTTGCCGCTCCTACGTAGGGCCACGACAAGGTGTGGAATGAGGACATGTGATGGATCGCGGTAGCTGACGCTATGCGTTGAACGAGTCTGTCCAAGTGCCATCGTTTACTTACATACGCACTGTAGCGAGATATATAGCGGATGGAGCAGGATATAAAGTGGAATGTTAGGGTGGCATCACCAATCACGAAGCCCCTGGCTCCTTCAACAACACCTGGGAAGCCGGCCGGCCGGCCTATCCGGTCACCCCTCTCCCTCCGCCTCCCATGGGCTATCCTTGCGCGCGTACCGGGCAGCGCGCGGCAACGGCGACATCGGCGGCCCATCAGGGTCTCTTGCGCCCACCCCCCTCACCCCTGCACGCACCAGCTCTTTTTCCTCCTTCTCTCGTTTCTCCCGTGCCTTTCGAATCAGCTCCTCCGCTTTGCGCCGGGCCTCTACCGGGTCGACTGGCTCCTTGCCGCTGCCCTCCTCATCCCCCGCCCCCGATATCCCGGCGGATGACTCCAGGTCAGCCTGCAGAACGGACCCCGAAACCAGGTGTAAAAAGGTTAGCTTACATGAGACACGTCAGCTCAGCCAAAACCAGACCAACGTAGATTAGCCCGAAGAAGCTAATAAAGCCAGATACGCGCAGGTACATTATTGAGTATCTGCAAATACGGGCTTGACTATAGCCCGGGCCGAGAGCAGTTGACCGGCATGTCCTTCATTCAGCCACCTCTCAACCGTCACTTGCGTCGCGAGACTCCCGACTGCTGCTTGCGACCGCCATGTACAGTGTCGTATCTGATCGCTGCCAACCGCGACCGCTGCTGTCCTACCTTCTTGACCATCAGCGGTTCGTCAACGTCCGGGTCGGTGTCGTGCTCCAACAGCCAGTTGACTGCAGCCTCCACCGAAGTAACGGCCTTGGAGAACCAGATAGCGCGAACAGCTCGGTTCCTTCAACATTACACAAAGTTAGGTAGGCAGTAGGAAGCAGGTTAGGCGCGAAGGCCGACGGTGTGGGGTTCAGGCCCTACACGGGCGGAGCGTGGAAGGGGGGAATGGACGGCGCCGTCGCGGCGTGGTGGCGATATGTGGTGGATTGGAGCGTAGGAAGGTACCCTGACCGGCATTTATGTGAGACGGGGCGTGGACTTGGGTGCTAGGACGGGAAGGGCCCCCTTAAACATCCGACGATTGACAGGTGATGAAAGGGGTGAGGCAGATGAACATGACGCGCACACGACGCACCTGGCGAACCCCATCTCCTCCATTTCTTTGAGCAGCACCTCCGGGACCTCCGCAGGGACCTGCGAAGATAAAGCAGCCGCCGCATGTGGATCACAGAGGTGTACGTCGCAGAGAGCCGGCCGCACGCACACTTGGCCATTCAACACGAGTACAGACATACCATCTCACCACCGCTGGTGCCCGCCTCGCAGCCGCCACCTGCGTCCGTGTCGCTGGTGCCTGCCGCCGCTGCCGCCCCCTTGGCGCGGGGCGGTTTGCCTAGGGAGGCCCGCAGAATGTCCGCGTCTTCCTCCATGGCGTCCCGCGCCTCCTTCATCTCTTGCTCCGTGTTGAGAGTCGCTTGCGCCGTCTACACACACCGACCCAAGCACATGCATCGACTGATTTGGCATCCAGTCTTAACACCCACTCAAGGCAGGCAAACCAAGGGGCAGGCAACCGGGCACTAATGGTGTAGGTAGCTAGCTTGTGACGACGTGTCCTGGTGGCGCTCATTCCTGTGCCCTGTGCAGTGCTGCGTGCGCCATACGTTCGCTACCTAGGCTCGCCAGGGGCGGGGCGGCACCGTGGGCAGCGGGATGTGGGGCGCCGGGGGCGTGCAAACGGCGCCGCATGGCCTTTGCCACCAGCGTACTATGGGAGGGAGGGAGGGCATCAGCAGCCCCTAAGCTGCGGCCCCCAAGCGTCCTCCCTGACAATGCCCCTGATAAACCCGTCGGCGACGAATTGCTGCCGTGGCCCCTGCCTCGCATCCATCCTGCCGTATTACGTCTCATGTATGTGCCAGTCAGGCGTGCGGCAGCCCGTGCCACAGTGAGGGGACAAAGCGTAGACTGGATGACGGTATTTTGTGAAACGTTCTTTGTTGCAAATGGCTGTTGGCCCAAGCCGGCGGCCAAGAGCACCAATATGGTGGCGACGGCAGCTGCAGAAGCCACATAACAACAGCCGTGCGGGAAAGGGTGTCAGGTGGGTTGTGTATGCATGCGGGCGCGCACCTCTTCGACGTATTCGGTATGGCCCGTGAAGCGTTTGTGCATGTCGCGCTCCGCGTCGGTCCTGCAGGGCTTCCCGCAGGTGACGCATTTCATCACTTTGATCTGCGTGTGTGGCGACAGGAGCGCGTGCGGTGCATTGGGACAGCTTGTATCTGTGCGCAGTGTGCGCGCCCGGTTGTGCAGGGGTGCAGGGTTTCAACTTATGGAACGCGTGTCTCATGGTTGCATTATCACAAAACCGACGGGCATATCATCAGCTTCCCCGGCTCCAGCGGCGGATCAGGATGATGGTTCTGCGGCTGGGGAATCGTCGTTCTGCAGGTTGGTCCAGGAGGTTGGAACACCAAACCCTAGGCAGCCAAATCCCTTTCTTAAGAGCTTTCGTAATAGCTCGTACCAGCTGGCATATACTGTTTCGCGCACACGTTGGGAAATGCAAAAGCGTACGCAGATCAACCGCGGACTTACGACTTCTGTGGTCTCCTCAAAGCTGGAATGACCTGTCACTTCTCCATGGCTTTGCGCTTCGGCTACGTTTCGAAGGAGAATCCCACAGACTCCACAGCGAAGTGATTTCGCCATGGTTCTTGGGCAAAGGCTTTACGATAGCGCCAGAAGTCTTAACGCCAGAAAAAACTTTTGGTAACGGCAACCAATAACACAACACGTAATCGGTTGCTGCAATAGTATGACAAACAGAGCATCCTTTTCCTCACGGGTTTGTGCCGTACTTCATCGAAATCTTTTCCCTTAACTTGACTGCTTATAAGTGTTTCGAGGCGCCATATCCTTAATTCGACATCTGGTTTCGGACGAACAGGAAAGCTTTTTTGATCTGGGCTGGGCGACAGCTCAAGCTTGACGACAGTTCTGCTGTGTTTTTGCGTTCAAACCATAAACACACCCGAGGCGCGAATCCAAAACCACGAAGTATGGTCCCCTCCGCTATTCTGTATTGTAAGGGGGCTAGAGGGGACGCAAATACTGCCTGAAGCACGAGTTGATCGCCCTAACTGTGGATCCTAAGGATCATCGGGTTTGGTGCAACGATACCCACAACCTGGTACCTTCAACGGACTGGGCAAAACCCCGCGCAGTGCGCAAAATGGTACATGCGTCTAGGAAAGTAAGGCTGCAAGGACTCTTACGGACTGTCCAGGGTAGCAAGTTAGCATCCTATGATTAGACAACCGCCACAAATCCGCCCTAGCCGCTGTAAATACCGGAAAGATGGTAAGGCTTGACGCAGAGGTTTACAAAACGGGAGTGGAGTTAGGTTGGATTCTACATAAGCATAAAACCCGAAGCAAATCGTACAGGCCGAATAATTTTCTAAACCGTAAAATAGCTTTGCGGGAATCGGGAAACGGTTGCCTGGGATATGTGTCCTCTGGAATCGCATACCGACAGCGATACATATACACGTTGCTAGATGCTGCTCATGTTCCCAACGTCAAAATCTTTGTCCTCCCCTTGCTCAAATTGGGGGAATGTTTCCACTTCGTATTAACGTTGCGGATGACCCCTCTGTCCTCCATCGGAACCTGGCAAACTTACCTCGCCTTCGCAACAGTTGGTCTCTCCACATGGAGTGATATAAGCTCCTAGCAAGAACTTCCGTGCCCTAAATCTACGACGTTAATCCTAAGTGGAAACATCCCCTTGGTGACTACCTTGCTGAAGACATTTCGAGTCTGCGCATGGAACAAGTAAATATGCAGCTTGTGACAAGGCGGCACCGAAGTCCGTTATGTGTAGACTGGCTTATCTTTTTCTCGCACTGGGTTTCCAAGAGTTACTTGATCATTAAAATGACCCGGTTTAGATATCCAGAAGCACGTCACATTGTTATCTCGCCTAAATATGTAGTGCTGTAACCCACCAAATTCACAATGCAATCAACATAAACCTTCAGGGGCAACGCAGCAGCACGCAGGAAAAGCCCAAGCGAGGCCTGACGTGCCGAAACCGCGAGACTTCCATTCTTCAGCGTGAAAAGGACATGATGATCACCATCACCATCACCATCGCCAGCACCATCACCATCACCGCCACCACCACCACCACGTTATGCTACCTCGTTTGCCGGTATCAAAACCCTAGCTACGCCTCGCCGCCCTGGAAAGACAACGGAAGACACGGATATACTCAACGGGCTCATGGATAACACTGCGCACTTAGTTCCTGTACAAGCAACCTGCCAAGAACGAAACACAATGCACACTTGTTGTTGTTGATGTCGTGTCCCCGTGCTGCATGCATTCTTGCACATGCTGTTCGCATCAAGGAAGGGCTGTCCGTGTCACGTGCGCACATTAGCGCTTTGACTGGCCACCACCAAGCTAAACTCCAACCTGGACTGCCACCTACCTTTCGGAATCGATACCTCCCCGATGCGGTATGATACGTACAGAGCGCTATCCTAGTAATGCTACCTGTGCCCCGCCTAATGATGCCTCTGTACGCAGTTGCGCCTGTACAAAATATATCAACGGCTGGCGGCCCTCTACCAGCAGCAGCGATATCTTCCGGCGCACCTCCCAAATCGGCAACCTCCAGGACACGAAGGCTGATTCCGTGCCGTACTGCCGTACTGTGGACCAGAGCTGCAGCGATCGTACTTCCTTCTGAGTCAAACACGCATGCATCATGCACACAAGCCTTCAATGCAGAGCTCCGGTAATCACGGCAGAGCTCTCCGAGTGGACGTGGCACAACGCCGTGGTAGCGAGAGCCAAGGCCCAAGCCTACAGACCCAAGCCCTGTACCAGGCGCCGGCCTATCCATGCTCATGCTTAGCATACCCATTGCCCACGGCACTTGCAACATGATAATGGACATCACAACGCATATACACACAACTACAGTTTTCATCGTGTATGCCCGGCAGCAGTAAAAGCCTTTCACGCGGCCGCCCTGTAAGCCACGAGGGGGCCCAGAAGCGTCCCCATCCAATATCGAGTCCATATTTCGCAAAGTCCCCCCCCCCTCGTCCAGAAGAAGGCAAGAAGCCTGCAGGCCACGTTTGGAGTCACAACCCAACCAGGCCATTGATGCGCAAGAAGCCAGGGGAAAGGCCGGGTCCGGCTCCATGCACAATCAAGACCTCCAAAGACCAAAAACAGCGCCCCCAGGGCCATACATGTAAACCCAGGCCGACGGCAAGGCGCTTTCCAGCCCAGCCCTGGGCCACGAAAGCTCTCTCTCCTCGCCAGTATCCACAAAAGCTGGCACACGTACTCGAACACATAGCCGGTGATCCTGCCTAACGCACAAAATAAAGACAACTTCTCCTGCCCAAAGCGCCCTGACGCGAAGAAGGCTTCGCAGAGCGTCCTTCTCTCTCTGGCATCTGCCGCCTGCCCCGACCGGGGGCTGCTCGAACCAAATAATGAACAAAGCAACCAACTAGCAAACCAACCATGCCTGCCCAACTCGCCACTGCGTCTGCGCCACTGCTGTCTTTATTGTGGGTTTTGAGTGCCGCTGCAAGGACCTCTAAAGTGAATCAACTCACATGCTAGGTTCTTATCTATCTGTTTGACTCGGCAGAAATTGCGCGTAGGTGCTGGGATAGCGGGCCCGCTTCCCAGAGCTTCTCGGGTTCCGCAGGGGGCAAGGGGGAAAAGACGAACCACGAGCGAGTGAAGCTGCTGCAAAGGAACGAGTGCTGCGGCCGATGTACAGGGAGCAGAATGCATGGAGGACGCCGAGACGGCCAAGCAGGTGCATACGGCATCTGGGAAGGAGCGCGGACTGGCGCTGCAGCTGAGACAGGCGAAGCACGTCCGATGCCCAGACGACAACCACCCCATCACACACGTTTACTGGGTCGGCTTTCCCGACTACCACGGCAATAATAACCCACAGTGCGCAGCGCTTTGCCACTGCACCTTCCGCAGCCTGTGGAGCGGGCAGCCATAAGGACTACAACAAGTCTTGCATGCTGCTTACTCCGCCAACAACTGAAGAATACATACGCATGCACAAGGCTCCGCTGTCCCGATCTGGCACAGCAGGGACTGTGCCAGGCCATCCCCAACCATATGCACCGCAGCCGCAGCCGCAGCCGCAGCCGCCCTCTGTCGTCCCTGCATCGTCTCCACGCGACCGTAATGGCAACAGCTGGCACAGGCGCCCATACCTCTTACATGCCGTGACCTCTTACATGCCACCTGCCTCAGCTGCTCGCTGAAACCCTAACGAGACTACTATCCATTTTCCGACTACAAGCCCGAGCCCCTTGCAATCCCCTTGCAGCCCCCAGCACCAGGCAGCGCGGATGCAGCGCTGCTGCTGGTGAGGTCCCCAGAGAGCTACGCGGCGTGGTCGCTGCTGCTGCTGCTGCTGGACCGGGGCAGCCTCCGCCGTTTCGACAAGCAGCAAACGGCCACAGGGACCGGCGTTAGCTCCCCTAATTGTTCGCCACCATCGTTGTCGTGGTCGCCGTGGCATTCGGCTGCTGCTGCTGCTGCTGCGGAAGGTGCGTTAATAGCGTCGGCGACAGCGGCTGCAGATGCGCCGGCGGCCGGCCATCCTCCGAGGCACTTACCAGCTGCATCTCTGGCGCAAACGTCAACCGTACGGCCCTGGCGGGCTTCAGCGCGCCCTCCGCCTTGGCCACCACCATGCACGCCTTCAGCTCGTCTATCGCTTCCGTCTCGTCCACTGCCTGCACCGCGCTGCCCTCCACTAAAGACCGGTAACCAGGACTGCTGCCGGCGCCGGCGCCTTGGCCGGGGCCGCTGATCCGCATTCCTCCATTGTTACTCATCCGCGGCGTCCCACTGGAGCTCAACCGGACCTGCGCCGCCATCGCGCCGCTGCCGCTCCGACGCAGGGCCCCTCCTCCCGAGTAACCGTTGCTGACTCGCTTGGCGCCCAGGGGCGGGCCGCTGCGCTGCGGCTTGTTGTCGCCTTCGTTCTCGCCATCGCTAGAGATGCGCAAGCCGGCGGTAATGTCTCGGTGCCCGGACGCCATGCCGCTGCCGCCGCCACCGCCGCCGCCGCCGTCCTCTGGCTCGCCCGTGTTGCTGCCGCGGATGTGGCTGAGAATGGCCATGAAGGGGTTGGCATCCTCCTCCTCCATGCCCAAATCGTCGTCCGGTAAGTCTCCCTGGAAGCGGAAACTCACATTGCGGCGCGACATCGACCGGTTGAGTGTGGTAGACCGGCCGAGGCTGGTTCGCCCGAGGGACGACATGCGGCCTAGACCGCTGCTGGCCGTGCTCGGGCGGCTCGTGCTGCCAGGGCCGCCGCTACCGCTGCCACTGCCACCAGCATAGCTTTCCCGAAGCCGTGCCGTCGAGGGCCGCGTGAAGTAGCGACTCGATTTGGGTCGACTCGATTTGGGTCGAACGGAGGCGGCACGTGCTGACCGGGCGCGCACTAGCGATGCAGCACTGGCCCGACCGGTGCTGTTCATGTCCGTGCGGTCCGTGGCCAAGTCATCGAGTCCCGCGCCGTTGGTGACGGAGCTGGCAGCGCTGGCCGCAGGCGCCATGGCGCCGTCCGTAGAGCCGACGGAGCCGCCGCCATCGCCGCTGCGGCACGGCGATCGACCTCCCATACCACTCGGGATGAGGTCCTCGGGTTTGGGGATCCACAGAAAGGTCTGCATGTGTCCTTTTCCCTTGACCTCCACGCCACCCGTGTCCTGCCAGTCCTCGAACGGAAGCAGCTTCGCAAACACCTCCGAAACCTGTGGTGATGTGTGTTTCCAGGGCGCGCGACAGCGCATGTGCAGGCGTCGGCGTTGCAGGTGTCAGGTTGAGAAGGGTGCGGGTGCGGGGACGGGTGCGGGAGAAGAGAAGCCGCCATGACCTCCGTGCGGAGCAGCGGGGGAGGTCCGGCGGAAGGAACGGGAAGCGCCCATCGGCACGCGCAAACCGTCCGCCCGGATTGCACGCTACTACCCTTCTAGCGGCAGGCGCCGGGCACTACCCGCAGCCGCCACCGCGGCCATATACACACGGAGTTTCACATATGCGGATTGGCCAGCTCTTAACTACCGGTGGGCTACATGCAAAAGGATCAGCCATGCACGCCTGCCTGTCCAGATGACCATACTGCCATGCTGCCGTACCCCAACAATGCAAACGGGCTTCCCCTCTGTAATCGTTCCCCAGCTTGGCTCTCCTGGTCTTCGTCTGAAGCCGTGCGCCCACCACTCAGCGCCCCTCACCATGACATCACACGTCCATACCGACATCTTCATTTCAGATCACACGCACCTGGACGCATCCTGGCTTGCAGGTGCTTTCCATCCTGCTGGCGGTGTTCATCGTGTCCCCTGCGCGGGCAAGGTGAGGCGAGGCGAGGATTTGGAAATTAGGAAGCAGCTTCGGGAAAAATATTAGATTAGGCTCGTGATCCGATATCGCACGTAGCGGACAGAGCCAGCCATGCGGCTAAGGGGGTCAGTTCGGAGTCCCCAGAGTGCACTCCCATCGAGCCTGCAGCCTATGGCCGAACGCCATTGTGCTAGCCTCCCCTGCCAGCACATGTCCGATATGCGAGCCAACAGCAACCTCAAATCGGCCGGGGAGCAGACAAACAGGCGAGTTAAGAACGAGGCACGGCGCCTGCTCCTCGTTCTGCCCACAATTTTCCGTCCAAAACGCCACAGATGATCATTATGACGATCGTGATGGTGATGATGCTGATGATGGTCATGTGATTATGGTGGTGGTGGTAATAATGATGGCGATGACAACAAAAATGATAACGGGGTCTGACAGAGCCAGAGCCTTAGTCCCGACCCCTCGCAAACGCACGGCAACACCTCTCCCCCTCCTTCCACCACCATCACCAGCCCAATCATCACACAGGCGATGTGGGTCCCGCAGCCAACCCTTCTCACGACTTACCAAACAGCGTGAACTTGGGCATCTTGGGCCCCACCAAGCCGCTGGCCAGGCTGCCAAAGTGGATCCCGATGCGTATTTGCACAGGGCTGTTATTGTGCGGCATGAGGACCTGCAACCGGCAGCGCGGGACAAAAGCAACAGTTGAATGGCGGCGCTCCCACATCACTCATCACCTTACCCGTAAAAGTAGCTGGAGCAAGGCCCGGATCAGCAGTACAAAGCGCACGCACGCACGCACGTAGCGGCTGCGGCGGCGGGGAACCCTCTTCACCACCGCGTTGCTGAGATACCGCGATTGATTGCCACACAATTTGTAATCGACCCGAACCTCCGCCCTTCCATTTGCGATTGGTATTATGCCCCTTTTACCAGTACTCCCCATTGCCTCGGGTTAACATACATCACAATACGCATACTGTGGCTCGGCCCACCACAACGACCAGACAACGGTCTCCCGCGATTCCCGCCTAAACTGCCAGCCACCGTCCGCATGCACGCTCCCCCCCTTCCCTCCACCAGTTCTCATTCACCATTCCCGCTCGAGAGCTACCTGCTTGGACTCCCGCAGGATGGCCTTTGCAAAGTCCATCATGACCTCCGCGTGGTGCAGCCGTTGATCGTTGTCCCCTTGCACCGTGCACGTGAAGCCGTCGTCGTCCTGCATGGTGAGCCCCGCCACCACGATGTAGCAGTCGCCCACGGTGTCCAGCTTGTACAGGTCGTGGATATCCACCAGGTCGTCAAAGATGGTGTACAGCTCGTTCAGGAAGTGCATCACCTGAAGGCATCCGGGGAGGGGAGGGGAGGTGGGTTGAGGGGATTGCAAAGGGGAGCAAAGCCCTCTCGGGGGGCGGGGGGGCACAGCAAGGTCCCGCCGGGGCGGCGGGAGCTGGTACAGAAGCTTCGCGGGAGCCAGGAATCCCCAAAACCTACACGGCTGATGTACACATGCCAGCAGCGCAGGAACAATTAAGCAACATAAATAAACAAATACATAAATATAATATACATAATAAATAATAAATAACAAAAATGTTTCATCAATTACGCGGGGGAGTGTTTTTTTTGTGGACGGGCCCCCTAGGGATCTGCGTTCCGGAGCACCGTACTGTGCTACAAAGTAGCGCATTGCAGCAACCAAAGCCTCACCTCGCTGGGCTCGACCTCCTTACTCATCGACGTGAAGCCCACCACTGCGAACGTGAGGAGGATACGACATCAGGAAATTACATTCAGGACATCACATCAGAGAAACGAGGAAAACCAACTGCCAAACCCCAAGTGGGAAATTTGACCTTGTGGTCTGGCGGGTAATCATTTTCGGCAATGCCACAGGTGAGAGCTCACCTGGTTGCGGGGCCGAACTCACACGAGGCGCACCTTCCATTGCGGGCTATGCGCAGCATCGATTGTCTCGCCCTCTCCCCTCCTTTCCCATCGTCACCCCCGATCCACCGGACTGCGACGCCCCTCCCAACCAACGCGACCCATCTCTCGTCACAGTCGATAATATCCTTTGTTACTATCCCATAAGCTGTTTGCATCTCAAAGTTCCATTTCCAGCAACCCGGTGATTCCTAAACTGGCCAACCAACCGGAGGAGCCCCGCGCACCATCCGTAAACAGCACAATGACGTCGTCGTGGTGGTTGGCCAGATGGGTCAGGTTGCGGGAGTTGTAGCCGTGTTTGTGGGACAGCATATACTCGATGACGTGGCGGGGGAAGAGCTGCTCCAACATGCCCAGCTGCGCATCCGTCAGGTCCGCCAGCCGGTTCTCCAGCTCCACCCGGGCTGTGACGTTGGTCTGGAGCAGCAGTATCACCTGGCAAAGGAGTAGAGGACGAGGGAAAGACGAACCACGAACGAGTGAAGGTGCTGCCAGGAGGAGGGGGGGCCGCGGCACATTATCGGTGGTAGAGCAGGGTAGCGCACAGTGGAGCAGACGGAGGGAAGAAACACACGCCAAAGGTGCGAGCATCCAAGCAGCAAGGGGAAAAAAGGGGGGAGTGAACATGGCCAAGGCCAAGGCCAAGCGCGCAGCGGGAACCTCATTCGCCAACCAAGGGGGAACCTCCAACCCAGAAGGTCTTCTTCAGCCAGTCCGTCATCTTCGGGACGCCGAGGCTTCTCCGGAGATGCAGCCGGAGCCATCGTCGCAACATGTGAGGCCAAGTATGACCCAACGTACGACTGAGCGCGTGCGACAAATTGCTGGAGGACACCAGCACCCGTGGGGCTAACAGACGGATGCGGTGCCTCCTCCCCTTTCCCAACCTCTTCCCAACTCGAGCTTTCGCCGCTTTAACCGTCCCTCGGAACGTTCTTGAGGCTTTTTCGGACCGCCTTGCCTGATTGTCCTTCCCAACAGGCCCTTCCTCCCTCTCACCCTCTCAGCACGACACCCATACCCTGGTGCGTTGTTGGGCATGCAGTTCAGTCTCTACACGCGGAGACAGCATCTCAGTTGTTTTCACTGCGGTGCACGACCGTCCTCCCCGCACCGTCCTCTGCTTGCTGAAGACGGAATGCAAAAAGCACCGGTAGGCGGGTCGACAAGGGGAAGGCACCCCGTATTCCCCCCTCCAAAAAGCCAGTCCAGGCGCTTGTACAGAACCTGCCGCACTCGCGCAGCCCGGTAGACCCCGCCCCAGGATAGCCAGGCTCGCTCTCCCTCACCCCCAATAGACCTCCCCGCGGCGCACTTGGCCGAGCAAAGTGCACGGTGCAATGGGGCGACGACCAACCTAAAGCCGCAATCCCCACGCACATAATCATGCCGTTTCCCTGCCAGCCCCATTTCCTTGCGCCCCGCTTGTCCTCACTCCAGGACCCCCCAGCCCCCACATCCCTTCCCGCGTACCTGGACCACCGGTGCTAGATTCCGCCAACATCCGCGGTCTAAACCCGCCGAGATGCCAACGCGTTCCCTTCTTGGGCTCCCCCCAGTCACCACGAACTCGCCTCTAAGCGCCCCGCCGTTGCGCTCCTCCCACCTCGCTTCCCAAGCCCAACCCCAGTGCGGTGCCGCCCCTTCCCCCATACGCCTCCCCCCCGTATGCCTCCACCCCCCGGTATACCTGCTTGTCCAGGACCGGGTCCAGAAGCGGGATTGCTGAGATGTCATGCCAGCATTCTTCCTGCGCCAACAACCCCCGCGACTCGGGCTTCTCCCCATCTGTGTTGAAGCTCTGCAATGACGCCGTGAAGCTGGGTGGCTGCTGCCGCTCCGCCGATTGCATCAGCGTCATGAACCGCCGATTTTGGCCGGCATTGGTCAGGTGCGAGTGCTGCTGCGGCACCAAGGCGCCTCCGCCTCCGCCGCCACCAGCCTTAGCGGCAGTAACGGTGAAGGACCCCGCCATTGCCGCCGGGGGACCCGGTGACGAATCTTCGAGCTGATTGGGCAGATTGAACGCGACGTGCGCACTGGTGCCTGGGGTGAGGGTATTGCTAGCCAGGCGCGGGGCAGGCCCGGTGATGCTACCTAGGCGACCCACGGGCAGCGCCGCCGGCCCGGCAATTGCGACGCCGCTGTCCCGCGTGTCCTGCCGCTGCGGCGCAGGCGCCTGTTGCCGGGGGCTGCCATTGCCACGGCCCCCCGCCCCCGCTGGCCCCAGGCTCTCCTGCCGCGCCATGCTAACCTGCGTCTGAAACAGGGACGCCAGTCCGCGCGCCGTGTTGTTCCGCTGGCTGCGGGCATGTTGCGTCGTGAAGCTTTCCAGCTGGAACTCCGGCTCCATCGCGTCCTGAATGAAGCGCTTGCTGACGGCAGCAGTGAGCTTCTTTCCGCCGCCGCCGCGGCTCCCGTAGCTCCAGGTCGTTTCCGCCTCAAAGACCATGTGCCGCTTGAGCGAGGCCGGCACGCGCACGACCTGCTGCCAGTAGTTGCCCTCATTCACCTCCTGCAGCATCTCCTGCAGCAGCTGCGGCTCGTACTGAAACAACACACCCATCATTCCGTCGCCGGTTTCCACGTTGTGGCTGGTCAGGTCGCCGCAGTAGTCAATGCTGGCGGCGTTTTGGTACAACACGTGGCCGTTGAAGTCTATAAGTGTGAGAATGGAAGGCACGTGGGACAGGACTGCGTAGTCGCGGAGCAGGCGCGGCATGACATCCTGCGACTCGTACGGCACGTTGTGCTCCAGGAGGAGGGCGGGGAGCTTGTGTCCGTTGGTGTCCGACCACACGCAGGGGGTGATGCGGAGGCCATAGAGCGACGCGGACTGCCCGGTGGGGTCGGAGGTGACGTGGCTGACGGGCTTACAGTCGCCTTTTGAAAGGTTTTTAATGGCTTTTTGGAGGGCAAATGTGAGCAGCGGGTCTCGCCGCAGCAGGCGCCGGAGCACCTGCGCGTAGTCGCGGCTGGCGCTGATTTTAAAGTATGACTTTGCCACGCCGTTAACGTAGAGCGGGAACAGCTTGTTGTGGTTTCGGCGCGCCTGGGCGTCAGGCGAACCGTCGGGGGGCGACTTTGTCGCCACGGCCCCGCCTTCGCTACCCTCACTCGAGGGCTCCAACCCAAGAACAGCGATAGGCTTCGTAGTCGAGGTTGAGACAGATTTGTGGATATCTTTTGCATAATGCACGTGAAAGCCGCGGCGTTGGAGCCTGTCAAGGGAAGGGAAAGAATAGGAGTTGGTGCGGGACACGCCGGCCCATTGCTTCACGGCAATGCAGTCACTTACTGCTCTGCAGTATTCATCGAGCTATCTCGACCACGCTGATGTGGTCGATTTGCAGCTTGGTCAGGCTCTTGCCCTGACCCGAACAATCGCGTTGACGATTTGCCTTTAAGCCAGCCCCAGCTAAGTCCCGATGCTTTTGATGGCTTTGACGTAGAGGTGCGCTCGCAACTGCTCGAGGCGCGCCGCTGCCTTGCCATTTCCAGCGTTGTGTTCAGTGCTTCGCCAGCTTCCATGCTTGGCCGCCTTTGACGAGATCGACTCGAAAGATATTGACCACTTCCATAGACAGAACCGGGCGACACGCTTCTGGCGTCTGTGCTACATAGCAAACCTGGGCCCATTGGCCCAGAGTCAGGAACTTGTCTCCGCTCCGCAAGGGGCTGCTTGCCACATAAGTCATTCCCAGGATGATCCAAAGGAAGACCCAAACCGGACGCTTGCGGGGATGAATCGGGCACAACTCGGACTCCGCTGGACCGGAAGCAAAACTCAAAGAGTCCCCCCATAGCTCCAGCGTGAACACCTCCGGGGCCTCGCAGGTTGCCCTGCTAGAGCCTATGTCAACATGATACCCAGCCTAGGCATATGGGATACTCTAAGCAGGGCGCGTTAGCACCCTTGCCATGGCTCCCGTTGAGCGATTACATATATTCATAACTGTTCCTATTGTAAGGAAATAGGCAGTGTGATAAGTTTTCGCAACAAGAAATAACACGGAACCTCAGTAGAACCAGCTAAGAAACCAAACAAATCGGCTGCCAGGCTGGCAAAAGGCAGTTAAGAAGCATGAAATTTGAGAGCGAGCATAGCCAGGAGTAAACAAGTTGGGAGTTTCTTCGAGGCGTGTTGGTTCCGTACCAAGGGTCCGAGCAAAGGCAAACGTGATCAAAGGCCAGGTCGACAGGTTGACACAATACAACGCCCGCTTAACGCTGTGCTCCCGGATTGGGGAAACGCTGCTGATGGGAATGTACGGTGTGCGGTACAAAAGTTTGCTTGGTGCTAACCTGTTGCTACCTATGGCATGCAGCTATATACGACGACCTATTATGACACATATGTCATCAATGAACACTAAACACAGCGTTAGGCCAAGAGTTCCGAACAGACTTTCCCAAAGCATCGGCTTTAATGTCCACCAATGCTCAACATCAACAATGCAAGTATGTGCTTAACTGGTTATGGATACAGATAACTTATTCGGCTTAATCAGCTTTCGATGAATGCTCGATAACGCCGTACTGTGCCTTGCCTAATCTCCCTCTTTCCTAGGGTTACGCGGCCGCGTTAATAGCAGATGGAATAACGAGGATGAAGCGCGAATCAGATCGAAAATAACTGTATTTCTTTGCACTCTGGGTTACGGTTCCCAGCGTGAGTGGCGACTGGCAACCTTGGCAGTATCCCGTGCTTTGTGCCAGCGATCTAAATCAATTTTTACCAAGCGGCGTTTCCGCATATGCTTCCGGTGGTGACCACCTCAGACCGTTTCAGAAACTCTGCAGGACTGGGACCAGGACTGACGATCTTAACGACAGCACAAGGTATCTAACTCGCTTGGTTAGTAGTTTACGGGTAGGGTGGCAAAATGGCATGGTGCCGACATCGCAAGTCCTGTACGACACGGCCTTAGGTCGCCTAAGACTCTTGGGCCAAAGGCTCCGTGGCCATACGGCTCCTGCACGGCGATTCGGTTTCCCTTTGCATCAGCGCCACTGCCGTCTGCTCAGCAATTTTCAATGAGGATATTCCCATTCAAGCTGGTGTCGTTTCGCGTAACAGGGATACAGTCGCTGATACAATGTACGACTGCCCTTAGAAGGCAAGGCAACTGTCACACTCTCCGCTCATCCATGCGATGAGAAAAAACCATAGTATAAATGCCCCTCAGCCATCCCATGGAAAAAACATTGCAAAGCCCGTTCCTTACGCACTTCGCACAAAGCACCCGGCGAGCACACGCCTGCACACGCGAACACCAAGAACCTCGGGGAAGTTTGGCAAAGCGTCAGCTCGATCAGTGTGCTGCCCACCAAGAAATAACTGGAAAAAAAATAAACAAGCAAGTGTTACCATAACCCAAGCGATGGCCAAAAGTCCAGCGATAGGCGCGTCGTTCATTCCGACGTCTTCGCGAACCCGCCATGGGGAATCCGCCCATGCAGCCGACTTCGGCACACACATTTCCTGTTGTCAAAGCAAAAGGAAGGCACACGTACATGAATTGACGTGGACATTCCCATGTAATGCTGTCTGCATTTTTGCCCTGGAGGTGCTTTCCTGTGTGGGGTTATGCTACATCTACACTGATGGCCTTCGTGAGTCACGGACAACATAATCCTCCCGACGTTGCAACGGCGCCCTTTGGTAGGTGAAGAGCGTCCTCAACAAACTGCCGTGCTGCTAGCTGGCAACAACATCATGTTCGAGCCGTGAGGAAGGCGCCCAGGGAGAATGAGCTGGGGCCAAATCCCCATCATCCTCATAATTCACATCCCCGCAGTCCTAACTACCTCCTTCCCCCCTCATAAACACACACACACACACACACACAACCTATAGGACGTGAGTGACCATGTTACGGCTTCCGCCTTCCTGCGCAAACTATCACATTGTGTTTATTCGCATACTGCCCGCAATCGGGGTGTGCTTCGCATTAAAACCCGCTTTGAGCCCACTGAACCGAAGTTTATCCGATTGGGGGAAGGTTCAGTCCAGAAGCAGGCCGTTATCTTTTCTGCAAAAAGGGCTGCCAGACAACGGTTAGCCAGTGGAGATGCACATTTTCAGTTCCCTTTTGGCCATATACCAGGCTTTCACGGATGGGGATGAATACCACTAAAACCCACGGGGCCTGGGGGACGCGACTCCCCAACTCGATCATTAAAACCTTCCTCACTATGCCATATGAAGGTGGACCTTACATAATTGATCCACACCTCTATCAACGCCGAGCCATTCGCTGACCGCAGACCCTGAAGACCAGGAGGCAAGGTTCGTATGCTTTGCCTGTTCCCAGCAGCCCCGCTCCCACCGGTAACATTAAGGAAAACGGGTGGCCGGCGTACACATAAGCTATGTCACATGGGGTCCCATATGTGTGTTGGTGAGGCAAGGAGAACTTGTGCGGTTTGGGGCCAGGCTGCACGTGTACCATTGCCCATCGTGTCTTGTTTGGCGCACTGAAGCGGCGGTCACTGTTCGGTTACGTAAACGATGCCGACGGCAGAGGGGATGTCGCTTTCAAGTGGTGCGTCCTATCGAGTGTAGATGGCTATCTTATCTAGCTATGCCTATGGACTATGATGCATGGCTACTTAAAGCGACAGATGCTTTTAAGCATTGCGTTGTTACACGGCAAAGTTTGCATCGTAACGGCTCATAAATACGTACCGCTGCGCGTGCTGTGTTGGTTGGCAGTCTGGAAACGCCAACAGATGGTAGAGCTGCTTGCAAAAAAGAAGTGCCATATAGTTTGGCATTGGTTTTCGGGACCATGTCTGATTGTTTGGCGCTGTGGTGCGGCGCTCTCCCTGGTGTGTCTTAGGGCCTCTCACGACCATTGCAGCTTTCGGATGCGGGCCACACCAGTGTGTGTTACGACATCTCGTGTGCATACCGCTCACACAGTATGACAATTGGATCTGAGTTTGGCATCACAACTGATCCCATTGGATGCCGTTTCTGCCCAGGAACGATACATAGGAAGCCATTGACTTGCTGCTGCTTAAACTTGCGTGTAACGGCGGCTGAAACCTTCCGTACCTACTCACGACCTGGAAGGGAGCGCGGGTTTCGAGACCAGGACACGAATCGGGACACCACAGGGGTCCGGTTACACATGCCACTGTATCGATCGCCCTTCTTAACCGCTTAGGCGGTGGGGGCCTTGTTGAGGACAACACCATCGAACTCCTGCTGGAACCTGCGGGCGAGAGAGGCGAAGGGGAAAGGGTGACGAGAGATGGGAATGGACATGATACTGGCAAAAGATGACCATGACGCAAACCGGTGATCCAAACCGGTGCGACAAAACACTTAGCCTTAGGCTGCCACAACTGAATGCAACGGGCAAGCCTCCCCCACACAATTAGCCTTGCTCATACGGAACAGCCAACACAGCTATGCAGACTCGCATAATTAGTAGCCGTCGAGACTCTCGCGCTGACAGCGACACCCTGCATATGTGGATCCCATGCACGATGTCCACGTGTGCATCTACCCATCATGTGACCATTTAAGAGTAACGAGCGTACGCCCATGTTCCTGGCCTCGTCAGCACATGTACAAAACCAACCAGCAGAACCCTTTTCCATACCCCTAAGTCTTTAAACATACTTATCATGCGTCGATGGGATCCTATAACGTGTTCAAATTCTGTAGCGAGTGAGAACTTCCAATTTCCGAGACATCGCCAGAACTCGAAAGGCCGCCCAACCAACCCCAAAATTCGCACATTGTCCCACCTTGCGTGTTCCCATTAAATTAGTGCGAAGGCGCCCTAGGTGGAACTTCAAATTGACCGGAAAACGCACGCAAAGCTGTTTACGTGCTTCCTAACTCCCGCTTGCTTAACAAACCTGTGCAATTCTTTCCCCTCTATTCATGCAAGTTGCGTGTTACCCGGCCACCAAAAGCCATCTCCCAAAACCGCCAGCCGGTGTCCACCTCCCCTGGCTAAACCGCTTACCACTTGATGGCATCCTCCTTGGTAACCTTGTGCTTGACGCCCACCCGCGACTTGCACTTCCGGCGGCGGGCCACGCGGTACCCTCGCCTCTCCAGGCACACGTAGAAGTCCATGCCTGGGGCAATGAAATTATAACGGCCATCAGTCGATTTCTTCCAATGTGCATGCTGCCAGCTTCGCCGTTTGCCCCTGGCTTCTTTAGTAAGCTTTTCGTGGCCCTTGGGGTAGCAATGCAACCGCTGTCACCCCGACAGTTGAGTTATTCGACCAGCTCTTGCAAGCAGCAACTGTCACTGCATGTGAGCTGCCCCTGCTCAAGAGCAATTTGCCGCCCCCCGGGGCGGCACGCTGAACTGCCACTCCGGCGCGCCCTCTTGAGCCGTGCAGACTGCTGCCCCCGGGTACTGGACACCAAGCAGCTGCCGACGCATCCACGCTTACTGCTTATTGCCTGTGCTGGTGTTGAGCCCTGGCGCAGGACAGAACGCGGCTTGCCACTCCAGAGGGATTGCCACTCCCGATATTTCCTGGAGACCCCTCTGGGACTCCGCTGCTGGCCGCTTTCCGCAGAGGCGTCATGTCATGCAGATGCAGATGGATCTCTCCCACTGACCTCTCCCAAGGGGGTATTTGAACCTGAGCTTACCGTAAATACCGGTCGACGGGTCGTACTTCAGGCCCAAATCGATATGCTCCTGGATGCCAAAGCCTGATTGTGGCAGAAGGTTATGGGTGTCAATTTATTGCAGGAAACAGCCTCCGAGCAAGCCAGCTGCTGCCTCACTCACCGAAGTTGCCGGTGTCAGAGAAGTTCTTGCGCAGGAGCTCGAACTCCTTCACAGCCAGGCCGCGCTTCTGTAGAACGAAAAGACCAAACAGGTGGAATGCGACCCCGCCGTCAGGGCTCGAACGAGCTGCGGTCAGACTGATCACTTAATACAAGTATGGCCATTAACAAATTAATCTTGCATGTAAACGCTGGCTTACCACCAGGTCGTAGGCCTTCTCGCCACGGACGGTAACAAAGCACGAAATCTTCTCATTACGGCGGATAGCAAACGAGCGGACGGTGAAGCGGGCCTTCCCGTACACCGGAACCTGGGAAGTAAGCTGCTCCAACACCTGTAAGAAGTGCGTTATGTGAGAGTCGGCGCGGGAGTGTCTCATCTTGACATTGGTCCGCACCTTGGCGGCCTTCTGCAGCCTATCGCCGGACTCGCCGACGGCAATGTTCAGCACCAGCTTGCTGATGCGGATTTCCCGCATGTCCTTTGTATTCTTGCGGTCCGCCTGTCAGAGCAGCAGCCATTGTCAGTGCGGCGCCGCCTTTTCACTATTCAGTAATAATAAACGCACCATTTTGAATGCCGCCCCCTGCCAGCTAAACAGAGAGGAAAGGGTTGGCCACAGCGGCAGCGAGGGACTTCTGCGGGCGACAGTGGGCCCTACAGTACGGCGACACAGAAACAGACATGCAAGCAAAGAGCCACGCGCCTGATAGTAATTTATTGCTTACCTGTATGCTGTATCAACACTTAATCACTGTAGGCCAGAAGCGGTAAAGTGGAACTTATATTTCGATGGGAATCAGCCCAACACTCACCATACCAGCTACTTGTTTATGGGCAAGGACTGCTTGAGCCGTGTTATGCTGCGTTGCCGGGTTTTGGTGCGTATATGATACTAGCATTCTCAGGGTGAAATGCCCCATGTTCCACGGTGGCACCTTTGTATAAGTAGTCATCCAACCAAGGCCGTGTCGATTAGCGCAGTGGGAAGGGTAAACACGTGTGGCCTGTCTGCTTACAATGAAATCGGAGCAGCACGCGCAACGCGTTGCGCAAGGCGGGGCACTCTTTGTAACTACGTTGCTCCCAGGTTTGCACGATTGAATTAATAAAAAAACGGCATATATACTAGTTGTTCGCTCGTTGCATAATAAATATAGTGACAATGTTAGGAAGTTAAGATGGGAAAGGGTGGATGTCGCGTGCCAGACCACAGCCATGGAACCGGTTTTCAAGGTATTCTGGTTGTTAAGTCAAATGACCTCTATGCCCACATAAACCCTAAAATACTGGGATGTCGGTTTTCCTGCGTTTGCGGTAGCGTGGCCTAGCCATCTAACAACACGTCTAACAACACGCGGTACACGCACACCCTCCACGCCTAACAAACACAGGAACGCATGTATGGTGGGAGATATGTCTGTTGCAGTTGCGGCCACGTCAACTGCCAAGCATTTGCTGCACTCTCCATGGGGTTCAGCATGGGTTGGGCAATTCGCCAATACGTTTCACAGAATTAACAGCAGGCTCACGCCATCCAGAACCTGGCGTGTGTAAAGGGCAGGGCTGCTAAAGGGCCTTCCTGTCCGTAAATGCCCACACCACCGCAAAGAAAGCTACCGAACATTGTCTGTGAAATGGTAAGCAATGGTACCGGCCATGCCGAAATGCCAGCGAATAATTGAGATGTGCCCTGGCCAGTATGTGAACTATTGTGGTTACACGAACAGACACATTCACACAAATGCAGCACACTCGCGCAAGCTTATCCAACTACGCATTGACGGGCTGGACTTACTATGTGACTCACACCAAGAGCCGGGCCATGACTCCCAAAGGATCCGGGACCTAGCAACTTGACCATGAGGGATCTTGACCATGCTTATCACCCTCATCCTATGTACATTCATGGCCGAATTACTAGCCGGTAGACGCATCGCTGCAATGCCTCCGCTGACAGGGCAAATGGGGCTAACCCCCCAATCCCTCCGCTATCCCCTGCATTCACATGCGAGCTAGCCATTCAACGAAACATATGTATGTGTTGTTCACCTATGGCAATGCCGGGCGGGGTACCTTGAGACTGCATGGGCATGCATGGGCCCTGACGAACACCCTGCACAGCTGATATTTTGGGGGCCTACCATCGCCCATGCAACATGAATGGTCCCAAAGTTGGATTGTCAGAGTGTGCCGAAGCTAGACGCAATAAAAGCGTTGCGCAGGCGCCTTGTGCAGGCGTTGTGGCCACCTTGCCTATGTCGACAAGCAGCTACCCTATGTCGACAAGCCTCCCTCTTCACCATAGCTGCCTCGGGGAGATTGGACAGATTGAGTTCTATTCATGGGTTTCTTCCGTGCATGTCCGCAATAGCCTTCAGGCCTGCTGATCAGCCGTCACCTCTGCTGTTGCCGCCTCCGCCGCCTGCTCCACAGCCTCGTCCTCCATATCCGACCCGAAATTGGCCACCACGTAGTGATCGTAAGCCAGCTGCATGAAGCTCTCGTAATCAGTACTTGCAACAAGGTAGTCAATGGCTGCGAGGTGAGTATGCGACTCCGCGTTCTGCGCTGTTGTGCACGCGTCGCACACGTCCTATTCCGGCAAGCGGGACCCAGCAAAAAAGGACATTGTTGGCTTGTGCATTCGCAGAAGGGAGGACATGCCAGACAGTTGCAAGATCCGGTGCAGCGTGTAGACGCACAGAGCTTATGCCACGAAAACCGGGGGTTCAAACGTACGACATGCCAACACACCTTATCCATTAGACATGTATGGATTGCATTCCGCCACTGTTCAAGACAACTAGTTTCTCGGAGGCAGCGTAAAAACTCCAGCCTGTCCTCAGCAGGCTCTCCAAGTTAATCCACCAGCGAACAACTAGAATTGTCATATGACCTAAGAAGCTTAAATAATCCTCAGTCCGCTAAGGCCGCCTTCCTGTGAAGTCCCGAGTTACCTACCTTGACCGTCAGGCCCTCGCTGAGGATGAAGTCCTCAAGCTGCCGCTCGACCAAAGTAGCATATAACTTGAAGATGTCAAAGTTCTGCAGGGGCTGCTCCTCTTCAAGCGGAACGAACTCCAGCTTCCCTGCATTCTCTCCCATGAAGTCCCCGATAGCACATGTGAACTTTGGCGAACAGAAAAAATCCTGAAATGGAAAACATCGCTTTCGTTTATATCTTTATACCGCAAAACAGGTCGGAGGTTAGGCTGCAAGAATGGAACAAACCTCAAGTTTCTGCAGGAGCTCCGATTGGTCTGCCATCCTTACGGCTATTGAATGTTCAGTTTCACACCGTATGCAATTTTTAAAAATACAACTCAAGCTATAGTTGGTTTGGATACATCAATTACGGTACGACAGAAAATTTTGCATGGTACTTTCCATGTTTTATGGTTGTAGTTTCGACTGTATACATTTGCTTCTGTCAATCAGTGTCCTTCCGGTGGGTCATACATCTTACCTCCTGCGGTGACCTTCGTGAGACGAGTGACATTTTTTCGAAATATATACGGAGGCTTCTGATTTACAGAATTTGACCAATTGTTGCCTCCTCGGAAACGCACTGATGAGATAGTCACCTTAAAAGCGGCCTCATCAGCGAATCGTCGCAAGGCGCCGCTGTCTGTGACGCAACTTGAAGCCCAATTGGCTATCGTCTCGATTCCTTACGGCTCATTGCGTCAGTGCACCGCGGATGAATGGGCGGTTTCCTTCGCCAGCTGGTATGGTGGTTGCCAGCCGGTATCGCCCTCACCGACACGGTCGTCAGTGTCTTGCTGGTGGAGGGACAGTCCATGTGGCCCACGTTAAACGAAGATCCCTACTTTAGCGATCTCGTCATCGTCGAAAAGATATCATACAAGTGGCTCCATAAATACCAACGGGGAGACGTTGCAGTCCTTTGGTGAGCACGTCTGCAGACCACTTGCCCGCGTTTTCAAGTCCGTGCTTGGGAGATGTTTTTCGGGAAGTTATGCACTCTTGCTTCGCACATGGGTGAGCTCTTCACTCTGAAAAAGTTTGAAACGCGCGTCAGCATCATCAGCACGAAACAGCCTGAGCACCAGACCGCCTGTACCCGCCCCCGGTGTGTGTGTTTCCCTGCTAACATCCACACGCGCCGCTTGGGACAAACATACATACGCAAACACGCATGCCACAGGTACCCATGGATGCTCACTTTTCTCTTATGTCCAACTGACCCAATTGACCCTCTTCGTCAAATCCGTCGGTACCAGCTTTCTTTCTCCGCTGACTGGTTAGCCGCTGTGTCCATGTCACCCCCTGCCCGGGTCCCCCATCCATGCTCCCATTCATCCATGCACTCACCCAGGGCACCTGATCAGCCCCATCAGCAGCTCGTGAAGCGGATAATTGCACTGGAGCACGATATCGTGTGGGACAGCGATAAGGGCAAGCCAACCAAGATACCGCAGGCAGGAGGGGAAGGGATCCAGGGGGCCTCTTTGCACCATACGCGTCCTATGTTGGCGGTGGTGGTGATGGTGCTGCTACTGCTACTGCCCAGTGGGGATAAGGGAGAACACAAACGGATCCGTACAGGCCCCAAGGGTGGGGTGAGGCCCCAGGGGGATGGATTGACCTCAAGGTGTGGGGGGCTGATGGGGGTACGTGAGGTGGTCGCGGATGAGCGGCACCAGCCCTGGAGCTCCTCGCACCGGGCCTCTGATCTCTTCGCTGCTGTGGCGCCCGTAAGGACGACTATGCTGTTATGCATTTGGGGGAGGGGACTGTTTTGTTTTTGCGATGACGCTGTTGACGTATTTTTGAACACACGTTTTTCATCCCGCCTTCCGCCTGGGCTCCAGGGAAGGTGCTGGCTGGAGGGGGACAATCCGGAAGCGAGCGGTGATTCCAGAAACATGTACGGACCGGTGAGGCCATCTTGGGCTGGTAGTGGTGGTGTTTATTGTCGGGGAAAAGGTACACCATGTGCAGCAGCGACACAGTGCTGGGGTCCAAAAGTTTTGGGCACTTGTGTCGCAATTGATTCCGTATTGCCGTGTTTCCTTCCGACAGAAGAGAGATTGCATACATGGCCAAAATGGCGTCAGCCGCGCATGAGTTGGGTCTCCAGTTTTCTCCTTTCTTACACCACTTTTCTCATACTGTGTCTCCGTGCAGTGCTTTTGCACCGACCTGCTCTACCCCATGCCGTGCAATCCGGGTCCAGGCATAGTCATGGGTGCACGGCTTCCATAGGCTTTCCGAGCAGAGGTTGCGCTCCCTACCCCGTCTCTGCACACACGCCGATCCGAACGCGCGCGCTTTTTCCTGCCCCTCTTACCTGGTGCGGTATTGTGTGGTGCGGTGTGCTGAGCGAACACAGGTGCATTTGGGGCTGCTGGAGGGGCGAGTCACGCATGTCATCTGGCCGCCTTGGCGGATCGGCGCGGTGCGGCGGTGGTACCCGGCAGACCGGCTTATCGTGGAGGATTCGGGCGGGGTCAGGGGCGTCAAGGAGCCGGGGGGGAGCTGACAGCTGAACTGGCCGTGAGGCGGAAGCAGCGGCGGTTTGCTGTTGTGCTTGGATTGGGGGGGGGTGGCCCTGGTGAAAGCGTTGGGTGGCAGGTGTTTTGGTAGGATAGAGCTGGTTGGCATGTGCTGGCGGGTGTAGCGCAGGTGCGCACCTTCGTGGATTGCGTGCACGCATGGTGGCTGCAGTCCTGGTGGTGTGGTGTGTGGAAAGCCATAGGTTGGAGGCGGCGATAGGCAGGCAAGGTAAACGCAGGTTGTAGCATGCAGTTTTCACAGTGGGGTTGGGGTGTGAATTGTGCTCGGTGGCGTGGCGGCAGTGTATCAGGACATGACCAGCGCGTGGCATGAATTGGATTGATGACAGGGTGCCTGTCTGCCTTCTTCATGTTATCACGGCAGTGCTGCTGTTTGGAGGGCATGGTATGTAGCTGGTTGTGTGGGGGGGAAATGGAGGCCTTGGCAGGCTGGATCATGTCTCACGATTCTGGCCGTGTGTGTAAGTCGCTCGTCTGCTCGTCCCATGTGGATTTCGGTTTTCGCAATTTTTTAATGAGCACAGCTTACACGAACAAAGTTTTTTCATACATTTTAGAGGGACATTAAATAATCCGTTAACTTTAAACTGTGTTGCGTGGGAATTTTCCTCTTTCGCCGCCGGTTCACCGCTTGTTCCAGTCATGCAATCGAGCCGCTTATTATCATCATGTAGCTCGGCATGTTCAACGAGCGGAAGGCGCCTTCAGCCCGCTGTTATTTTTGTTTCCTCGCGGTCCAGCCTAGTTCGGACCGGTGCTCGAAAGCCTACCGGCGGAGGCAAATCGTTGCTTGCAAACTCTCCACCAGAGACTTTTGTTACAGAATATCCTACGCAATTCGATGATGTAAGCGACCGTCTTTCAACACTTGCGTCGTCGGATGCCGAACCAGACGTCGAGGTTCTACCGCCTTTGGAGGTTGATTCTGACGACGCCACGTCAACCGTTGATGAATTTAATCCATACACGACCGCGGATGCCCTAAGGTGCTCACGTCCGGTCGTGTTTCGAGCGGGTGTTCATTTGGGACTCTGTCCTAAATACCATCAAACGCGTACAGAGACGTTAATATGCTTTAGCTCCCAGCCGACAGCTTTCTGCGGGGAAATTTTACTCGCACGTGAGGGGACCGCAGCTGGGTGGCCCCTGGGACGCTGTCCAGCCGCGTGCCACTACCAGGACACTAGTGACACGCTGTTCTTGCCGCCGCGCCGCAACAGCAGCAGAATAAACAGCTGCAGCGGGCCAGAAGCTCCAGCCATCAGGCGACACCTGACCACCTACATCGGCATTTCCAATGGCATCTCCAATGATACCTGCCACATACCGCGTTCATAAATCCTTCCATGTTGTGTGCACATTGCATGTCCTTGTATCCCACCCATTCCACTCCACCCCGTCCCACCTATACCCTCCCTCATCCACGCATTTAAGATGGTCTCCAACACAGATACAGATGCTTCCTCTCCAGACGGTATCTCGACGCCGTTTTCCGCTTCCTCACTCCACCTTTACCACCACACCATCATCACCATCACCGCCACCACCACCATCATCACCATCATCACCATCACCGCCACCACCATCATCATCATCATCACCATCACCGCCACCGCCATCATGGGCAGTGGGTGTAGTTTTTATGTTACATTCACATCAAATCCTCCTCTCCCCTCCTTCCCTCCTCCCTCCTCCCTCTCCCCCCCAGCGCCCCCGCCGAAGGCCTGGTGGGCGGCGAGCCCGCGCTGGAGTCCCTCCTGGCTGAGGGCGGCTCCGACCTGTCCGCGGACCGCATCTGCGCCATCTTCCCCTTCCCGCTGGACACCTTCCAGCGGCGAGCCCTGGAGCTGTTCCTAGAGGGCCGCTCCGTGGTGGTGTGTGCGCCCACGGGGGCGGGCAAGACGGCCATTGCGGAGGCGGCGGCGGCGGCCACGCTGGCGCGGGGACAGAGGGTCATCTACACGACGCCCCTCAAGGTGTGTGTGTATGGGGAGGCCGGGTGCTGGGGGGTGCATGGGGGCTGGGAAGGAGTTTTCGGGTGTTCCATATGTAGGGTTGTAGCTCCCGTCCGTAGCAGCTTTGGAGCTGAAACAGCAAGGGCAGAAGGAGCAGCGGCAGCAGTGGTGGTGGTGGTGCTAGTGGCCGTGGTTTGTAGCAGCGGCAGCAGCAGTAGCGGCGGCAGCAGCAGCACTAGCTCTGAATGGAGTTGTCGTGGCGAAGTGGGGACGCGGCGGCCTAAGGGGGAGGGGGAGGGGGAGGGGGAGGCACTTTACCTACTGCCACATGGCCCGCAGCCCCCTGCCCCCGACGACCTCAACCTCCGTCTTGACGGCGCGAGATCCTGTGCGCTCCGGACCTCCATCACCACCACCATCACCACCACCATCATCATCACCACCACCACGCTCTTAGCACTGCCATAGCGGGCCAACAGGCCATAACGGCCGTGCAAGTGAGACAGCAGCCAAACGAAGGATCTAGCGGGTATTACACTGGCAGTGTGGAGGGGGGCCCGGCGTGTTGACTGGAGGGGGCCAGGGAGAGGCCTGGTGGGGGAGGGTTTGGGTTATGAGAATGAAGTGTGGGGTTGGCTAGCTGGTGGTGGTGGTGGCTGGGCTGGGCTGGGTGTCCCTGTCCGGTGGCCGTGCCCTGGGGTGAGGGAGGTGCGCTGCGGCCTTTTCCGGAACGGCTTTATCCCCGTGTCGCCGTCCGGGAGCCATGGGAGCGGCCCAGAGAGCTGCTGCAGTGCACTGCCGCTGTGATCTCATCGTGGGTGCGTTTCCCCGTACCGGACCGCGTGGTGCGCTGTGTGGTTGGGTGTTTGGAAAGCTGCTGGCAGAGGAAGTTGCTACTTGCTGGCTCTGGGTGCTGCCAAGGGAGGAGGCTGGCTGGCTGACTGGCTGGCTGACGTTTCGATATGGGCCGAACACACAGCAGCTTCCTCCTCCTCCTCCTCCTCGCCCGCTATCTGTTCCCGGGCCCTTTGCCGCCCTTCGCTTTGCTCGCTTTCAACGCCGGGGGCCTGGGGTGCTTCATCGTCATACATACATACATACATGCATGGATGCATACATACATATCGAAAACACACACATAGATGCATATATTGGTATATACCAGTCGCGGCGCAGTTCCAGCGAGTCAGTTTCTTGAAACACACGCGCGTGCACACACACACACACACACACTCATAAAACCCGCAACCCAGCCGTCCCGCCTCGTCGCCCGTCGTGACACCTCAGGCTCTGAGCAACCAGAAGCTCTTTGAGACGCGGCGGCGGTTCGGCCACGTCCGGTGCGGTCTCCAGACTGGTGACGTCTCTCTGAACCCCGATGCCAACATCGTGGTGATGACCACGGAGATCCTGCGGAACATCATGTACCGGACTGCGGAGCTAGCGGAGGAAAACAACACCGGTAAGCGGGTGCGTGGGTACATGCGTATGTTACAAGTTACAAGTTACAAGTGCCGCACGAGTGGGGGGGGTCCGTCAAAGCCGGGAGGCCATGGACTATATATATATTGAAAGTTGATTACACCGTACAACCGACGGCGGTCTGGGTCCTGCCAACTAGACCCCTCCTCATCCAGTCACCCAACATCCGTAGAGACAGATCAGCCATTACCACCATCTCAGCATGCGAAACTTAGTCCATCAAACTAGACCTCATCTCCACACCTCAGCAGCGTTAGTAAACCTAGACCTCCCGAATAATGTCGGGGGTCTGACCAGGAATCGAACCCGGAACCTTCATATACACAAAGGCGCCACCAGACCAGACCAGTATGCGTATGTGTGTACGTATGTATGTGAGTGTATGTATTGGGGTGTAGCGGACGGGGTTGCAGATGCTGTGATGCGACGGGGCGGATGGAGGAGGGAATAACAGGGGGAGTGATCGTAGGGGGGAAAGGACGGGGGGAAGGGGGAAGGGAAGGGGGGAAAGGAAAGGGGGAAGGGAAGGGGGAAGGGAAGGGGGGAAAGGAAAGGGGGAAGGGAAGGGGGAAGGGAAGGGAAGGGGGGAGAGACGAACCACGAACGAGTGAAGGGGGGAAGGGAGGGGAAGGGGGAAAGGCTATTGGTATTTAGGCCCACACGCAGCGGTCCCGAGCCGCTGACCCCGCCAGCCGCCTCACTTGCACACCCTTGGTCTTTCCGTCCTAACTCCTAAAAACCCCCCTAACATACATACATACATACATACATACATACACACATACTTACATAACTTATTCACACATACGCCCCAGCCCCCCCTCTTACCCACAACCCAAGCAGTCCTCCTTACTCGGCTGTCTGCGATATCCTGCCCCTTCCCACCCCCAACCCCCACCCGCCCCTTCCCACCACCCCGCACTCTCTTTCCCTCTCCCCTCCCACCGCTCCAGGGAGCCTGTCCACTCGCGAGGCCCGCCTGGGGAATGTTGGCCTCATCGTGCTGGACGAGGTGCACTACCTGGGGGACCCGCACCGGGGCAGTGTGTGGGAGGAGGTCATCATCAACTGCCCTCGACACATCCAGCTGCTGTGTATGAGCGCCACCGTGCAGAACCCGCAGGACCTGGGGGACTGGATTGCCAAGGTGGGTGGGTGGAGCCGGTGTGGGTAGGGGGGTAGGCAGCTGGGGGCCGGGTGAGGCAGCTGGGGGGTAGGGTAGGCAGTTGGGGGGTAGGGGGGTAGGCAGCTGAGGGCCGAGGTGAGGTTTTTACTCCGCTACGAGCCACCGCGAACTCTCTACCCTACTCCCGTGCTCTTGTGTGGACTGGGTACGACTGCCTTTTACATACGAATACAAACATGTCTTCTACTGCATATCAGCAGTTCTCGACACCCGTCCCCCGATATAATCTTTTCGGCACCGGTCCTCTCGTATTGGTTGGGCCATATGTCCCCATACGCCACTACTTTCGGTTTTGCGCGAATGAGCTCCCCCTCCTCCAGGCTCTTCCTTCGCCCCCCCAAGCACACGCAACCATGACTCCCCCCTCCCTACCCTTATCCCTACCCGCCCCTATACCCCCCCCCTTGACAGGAGCACATGCCGTGCGAGACCGTCCAGACGAGATTCCGCCCCGTACCCCTGCACTGGCACTTCGCCTTCCATAAGGCCCCCAAGGCAGGTCGTGGAATGTGTGTGTGTGTGTGGGGGGGGGGGAAACGGGTTTTTTCGGGTTTGATCGTGTGCATGTGTGTTTGTGTGTGAAGCGGCGCCGCTGCGGGGTGGTACTCTGAAGCTCTCTCTCTCTCTCTCCCTCTCTCTCTCTTCCCGTGAATCACCTGCCTGGTTGAAGAGCGGGAGGTGGAGGCACTGGCCAGCGCAGGTGCAGGAGATGGGGGAGATGCGTCCTGGTATGGGGGCTGTGTTGCGTCCAGGTGGTTGATTCGTTCCGGGTGGGCGGTCCGAGAACTGTACTGTACGGTATCCGCCTCTTTCCCCGGCCACCCCCCACCCCACCCAACACACACGCACAACCCTAAGTGCCCCCATCCGACCTTCCTTTTCCGTTGAACGTGATTGCGTACCCGGCCCCTCCCCGCC